TCACAAAAATCTGCATGTTTATGTCACAATGAGAATTCACAGGGTATGTCGGATTATACACAAAATGTACACCCAAAAAAAGAGCCATATCAAAAATGAAGACTCAAAGTTTATTCCCTTTTACTTAAGAGGCAAAAAAATGGAGAACAGGGTCAAAAAAAGATGGCTTGTGCGCAGGGGGCACGTGCCAATCCTGAAAAGGACAGACACCTTATGAGTGTACGTACATACGTACATACGTACGATTAGACAGTCAAACCGGTGGGAGTAGAACAAAAAGCTACGCATGGAGGAAAAAATTCTAGGCTGGCAGGCTACCAGATCTGTTTTGAAGGGGTTMTCTGAAGAATTTTTGACTCAAAATGTGTCTGGAGAACCCTCAGAATGTTCTTTTGCTACCAAAAATATATGCCAAGACAAAAAGATTGACCAAAAAAGCTGACGTTGCATCATATTCAATGGTCACGATGAMATCATGGCTAAGTTCCTCTTGACATAAGGATTCTACACATAAAAGTATGTATAGGGGTTACATGTGATCCAAATTTTGACTCATCCAAAATGGTGTAATCTTTTTCAACCAGCCGGTACAAGGCAGAAGGCGATGGATTTCAAGCTGATGCCCCCTGTGACAATGGATATTGCTACCAAGTGTACATGAGAAATGATCCTGCACCAGTGAAGTATTCCTCCAGTTGAGCTTCCTACAGCTGTGATTCCTAAACCTCATGCTGTTTCCTTTCAAGCCTCATCTGTTCATGAGACCTTCAAGGCCACCAAGGAATGGTGTCAAGCATCAGGAAGAGTGATTGCCTCTATTAGTAGGAGACTGTCCTTGACAACTGATGATATGGACAGTGTAAACTCAGCAGCTCATATTTTTGCAGAGAAGGTACTACAGGGAAGACTCCCAGGCTTTGTGACTGCTGAAAGAGTTCYAGAGAATAGAATTGACCTCCATYGTGGAAAAMATTTTMACTGGGTTTCTCTTGCTAGGCATATCCCCAGAATTTCTGTCTTGGTAGTCCTCTCTGGYCATTCTGCCAAAAACCTGGAGCTCAGGGGTTGTCATGAGAGCTAGCTATCCAGTGACATGAATGCCTTCTAAAAAGTTGTTCTAGAAGAGATGAAATGGAATGGCAGCTACTTGTTGAAGATACTACAAGAGGAACTCTTATRAGAGCAGGTATGTCTGAACAGGAGTTTGGTGGAAGAATGAAGACTCACAAAGCAGATTCTTTTTTGAGGAAGCCTCTACTATCTCAGYAAACAACAAGGAGACTTTACAGCAAGYGGTACCCAGACAGAGGAGCATTTCCCAAGAGTTGGAAGGGAGGAAAGGGGCGTTTCTAGATATCTACTATCAGAGCGTTTGGATTGGTATGGATAGGAACAATAGGGATGAAATCTTGTCACTGTTGGATTGGTCTGAGGAAGAAGAGAAACAGCTCAGAATGCTGCCATGGAAGAGCTCCTGCTATAAGGACAGTTTGGCAAACAGGAAATGCAGACATCTATGTTATTTCTTTGAAGCAGTATACGCTAGTATTGCTCGTCTCAGACCATCAGCAGACAATAGTATGCAATCCAACTAGTGAATGGGAGTTGAAATATTATGGATACTAATACTAACTACTAGTACTAGTACTACTAGTAGTACTAAACAGCAATACTACTACTATTTATAGTACTACTGGTAGTAGTACTACTAGTAGTAGTACTACTCCTAGTACTATTACCACCAACTATTACTATTACTTCTACTAGTAGTACTACTAGTAGTAGTAGTAGCTATGAATACATATTCCTCATTGTCACTAGTAGAAACCAAGCTGTATATGGTACTAATTGTTGTAGTAGTAATACTCCTGCTACTATCACTACTACTATTACTATTACTACTACTAGTACTAGTAGTACTACTGCTGCTGGTGGTGGTACTACTACTACTAGTACTACTAGTACTGCTACAAGAAGGACCTCCTACTACTTATACTACCAGCAGTAGTTTCAGCATAAAAATTGTATGACCCAACTACCCACTGAAACCAATATGCTCATTAGGATGTTAAAATAAATTCTACAAAAAACTACTAGGTCTTAATTGGATGCTTCGATGCTACTACAGTAGTAGTATTTTACAATACAATTAAGTATGCACTGTAGATTGTGCAGTTTATTACATGCATTTAACACGTAAGGGACTAAATTTGTACTTATGCAAATTTGCAGTTTCGTCGCCGCTTAGTAGCACTCCATATTCCATATTTTCTTTTCAATACGAGTAACAGTACGTACGAGTAGGTACGTACCGTAGCGTACCGTAGCTTACTCGTTGGAGCATTTTTGGTTGCGAGAACCCCAACTGTTGCCGTACTACCATTCAGTAATTTGAGTACGAGTACGTGCGACAGGAAAGGAATGCCTCGAGAATAACATATCCCAGTATTACGCAAGATCCCCAATCATAGTTAAAGCAAACCTCAATTAATAGAAATATCATTACGAGTTCTTGATAGTTCTGTACTCGTACCGGTACTGTAGGACAGAAACTTACCCGCTACCCTATCATACGATACGATATGTTGCTAATTCAAAATACTGCATGCAATTTTAAAAAAGCACACACGTGTTGGTTCGATAGCTTTCATATTTAATAAAATATGCTAACGGCACACTATGATAAAAGAGTGTTCTGTAATTGCCATGAAAAGCAAATAGCGCGAGAAGAATCTGGCTAGACAAAAAAGCTTATTCTGCCCCATTCTCTCCGTTCTGTTGTGTAATAACTTACCTTCAACTGGTGCATCGAACGAGTCGTCGGTTGTGTTGGAGACGCCAAAAGCACTCTSGAGAAAGGCTGACTGGTCAGATCACTCCCTCTCAGAGCATGGTCAATGTAATTGTACGGTACCTGAAGTAAATAKAGATAGGYACTGCGARTAGATAATGCAAAAGRAGATCAGAGACACATGTCACTAGTGTATGCAAAGCGCATTTCAAAACTCATCATCTTTACCATCACAATCGCCGAAACCATGACCACAAGCGTCTGCTACCCGGACCAAGACTGCTGCATAGATACAGACGAATCATGCGGTATGGAAGGCACTCATTTCTCTACCATCTCATCGGTCTTCGTCCCAAGATTAAAGCAACTCCTGCGGAAAAGTGTGAACTCATTGTCCCCGTCCACACCCTTCGAAGAGAACGACGAGACCGCGATTGCAACACTAATTTTTGAATCTATGTACACGCCTGGCCGTGTGTACCATAGCATGCAGCATGTGTTTAATATTTCAGACAACTGTGACATAGAAACAGACCCCATGTTGCTTCTTTCGACTCTCTTTCACGACGTGATTTATTATACGGTGGACAAATCCTTTCTGAAATCACAGCTCGAACTCCTCGATAATGTCCTCGCTTTCGAAGACGCAGGGGACGAACCGAAGCGCCTGAAGSAGCCTTTGCTACTATCACCTGATGCCCAAGAAGATCCTCTCTTGGATATGATATTTCGACTCTTTGACTTTAAACCAGGGACGCCGCTGCCATCCTTTGGAAGCAATGAATTTTTGTCCGCCGTGATCGGCGTCCGTGTCTTATCAAAGTGGTTGAGTGTGCCGCAGGTGACACAACTCACMGCAGCCATCGAAGCAACGGTTCCCTTCCGGCCTCCCTCGCCCGATGGAAAGACAGCGATGGATCGTCTCTACGATCGCTTGATCACAGTGGCTCCCAACCAATCTGAAGACTGGTTCGAAGAAACGATACATTTGTCGGCTCTTATGGCCAACTGTGACCTCTGTTCGTTTGATAGTTCTAATTTCGATTTCTTTTTGGATTCCAACTGGAGTCTTGTCCCAGAATTTAGACCGGCCCTTCTRAAAGAAAACTGCCCTCTCCAAGAATACTACGACGAATTTCTCGCGATGGAAGGGAGAACCAAGTTTTTGATATCCGCCATTCCCAACATATTTCAAGTATTTCGGAATGTACCTTCCGAAAGCGAACTTGCTGATAAGAGGGCGAGTACTCGCGCCAACTTGGTCCTTGGAGACGACTACGCACAAGTGCGACGGCTACAACTGATGGTATTGATGGAATTCGTCACGATGGTCGGAGAAATTCCCGAGTCAATCCCTGGACGTCAATTTCTTTCTCTAGAGCTCAAGAAATCATCGTGCAGTGGCGAGGAAAGCCCGGTCAGAAAGCGATTAGACCCAGGCCGACGCCAGGGTTTCCCCTGGGATCCCGCAAGGTGTTCGCTAGGGGCTTTTCTGTATGACCATCTGGGAAAAGAGGGTATYGATACGGCAGTAGAAGTTGGGAAAACACAAAAACCTGGGAGTGGCCATCTTCTTGACCATCTCCCAAACGATGTCGTTGCCGTCGTAGCAGCTTCTTTGGAAGAAATTTTGCCCGACCATTCTGAMGCGCTGAAGAACATTTCTGATAAACTGGGGTTTAGTCAAACATAGGCTTAAAAAAATTAAGTTTCAATTAGAATCTAGCTTTTGAAGTGATTGATAGTCACGAAAGGTAGCAAGAAATATCGCATCCCGACAACTGATGTCGGGAAGGACAAAACGTCAGATTTGTGATGAACTGTGCAAGCTACGTTCAGAGTATTTTGGTAACAACARGTGCCGGTGGATGACCGGAAATGGAGCAAAAATATAGAAAAGAGTTTGCAAATAAAATTAGTTAGAAATTCTCCTTTCAGCACACCCAAGGTTACTTTTGATTTTTTCTTTTTATTACGTTTTTAAATCATCTTTGGAACAAAGCACAAACGCTTCCAATTAAGAATGATTCACGTCTGTTATATTCTACTTATCACAAGGCTTTGGTTCCAACTCGTTCCAATTTTGTTTTTGAAGATTCATTCGATGTCGTTGTGTARGTACTCTATCGACAGACTACTATAGGGTATGAACATTGTTATACTGCTGTCACTTTTGTCAGAAAAGTTGATACTTCTGCAATCTTTTTCATCGTTTTTAATGGATTTACTGTGAAATACTGATAGGCTCCGTAGAGTACCGTAAGATAATACATGGTTTACGATGAAGAGTGATCCTCACATTTACAACCCTGAGCGTAAATCTCGATCATTATTTTGCCGCCACMAAAGCAGCTCTATTGTTTGAACAAGGTATTTCAAGTAATGGTATTAAGTTATCAATRATAGTSCGATGGATTGAATGGTAATGGTGCATACCAATTGGSACCCTCGAGAGTSAAAATGMATGGGGTTGTCCTTCGCGTACGTTCTTTCTGTTTAGCAAAATTTCGGAGCATTTCCGTGTATGATGCTGAAAAATTCAGCTCTGGTTTTGGAATTGCTCTGAAAGCATCCCCGGACCGACGACGTGGCTGTGGATGTCCCCTCTTTTTGTACACCCCTCATTACCATGCACATGTGAGAGCATTCGACAACGACGGCAACCCCGAGGGGTTCGACAGCTTCGACGATTGCATCTGCAATTTGGCTGGTAAGGCGTTCTTGAACCTGGAGCCGTCTAGCAAAGACTTCGGCAATCCGAGCCAATTTCGACAAGCCAATCACCTTGCCATTCGGGATGTAACCGATGTGTATRCGTCCGGTGAATGGAACCATGTGATGCTCACAGAGGGAATGTATGCTAATGTTCCGGACTACCACCATTTCGTCGTGATCTTCGCTAAACACAGCATTGTTGGTGACCTCTTGGCAAGTCTGAGCGTAGCCTTTGGTCATAAACATCAGAGCCTTGGCCCATCTCAAAGGTGTCTTYAACAGACCCTCGCGGGATGGATCTTCACCGATGCACTCTAAGATCGTCTTGCATGCATCTTGCATCTTTTCCAGCTGCTCTCCCTCGTTCCGCGGTTTCTTCTTTTCGGATAGCGCAATAGAGTCACCACGACTGCGTTTTTTGCTAACCGATTCTTTGCTGCTCAGCCTGTGCAGCATTCGTGTCCTCGTTGCCTCACAAGTCGAACAAATGCATACCTGGCCGCTTGCCAGGACGCACTCTCTGTCCCTGGAATTAACATCGATATCCGATGGGACCGTTCCATTGCTTGTGTCTTTGTCCGACACAACCGTGACCCCGATTTCGTCTTCCATCTTAATCTAACGAGCCAAAAATTGTGATTGTGCCAAGAGCAATGAGGGTTCGAGGCTGTGTTATTCAGCTGTATGCTTTATCCAATAGTTCCTTTCTGATGTCGCTGCAAGGTTTCGCGTATGCTCTGTAAAGAATAATCTTTGCGAAGAACGTGTTTCCTACTCCTAAAATTCATTGGYCCCTTTGGAGTACAGTACAATACGTACTCGTAGGCCATGAATCGTAGATCAACCGAGGAATGACGACTATTTCTTAATCTGATACTTTTCTGTCGACATCAGAAAAGGGATGAAACAACGCATGTGCTGTATCGTACCSGTAATCGACATCACGAGTACCAAACCAAATACTTAATGCRTGTCAATGCCTGATTCCACAACGATTGATTGGCCAAGGTTTAATCTAATACTAATCGTCTTGCTTTGAAAACAATAAACTTCCCCCAAAATAATTCTGTATTCCCTCATATTTTTCTGTTCAGTTCAGTACCAAGTACCTACCGGCAGGTAGTACCGTACTATTTAGTTTTTCGGTACGAGTACGAGTAATATTGAAAGAGATGCGATAAAGTACGATATGATACCTTGTATGTATGTATGTACCATACATGGATACAGTACGTCGTACCCGTTAAACGTACAGTACATTATTGAAGTACTGTATTAGAAGTACGTACCGTACCGTAGTGTACTTGTAGTATCTGCCATACCGGCACTGAAGATTAAAATTATACTACAGGTAAAATATTTGTGAGTACGGTACGTAGTGCATGATAGAAAGCCAAGTAATAGAAAAATATATGTAGTACTTCTATTTTAAAAAGAAAAAGTATTGGGACTTCTGTTTAGGAGTCTTCAATGCTCGAGGAATGTGAACTAGCTCTCACTCTACTAGCTTTTGGCATGATTAGTGTTTTGTTTCTCTATCTTCGAACAGACTCTCACGAAAGCAAACTGGAGCATTCCGAACGAAAAACCGATGGTCAATTCCGTGCGGAAYGGTGAGAGACGGACCGTTTTCAGCATTTGGTTCCCCGTCTTCCTCATTTTCGATCAATTCCCATGCCGGTGACACCCGGGGTATGGCTGTSGCRGTCATGGTCTTGTCCGCAACGRGACGTTCCTCCGCGGCCTGATTGTCGTAGTCACGGGCAATATCCCCCACCCAGGAATGTTCTTCTGTGGAGGGAGGGAGAGGGCCACACGGACCATACAGAGAGCGGTGTTTCATGGTGGCGGGAACGTTTCTGGTCCAGAACCCAACCATGAAGGTCAACCTGTTTGGCGCAGCAGCCTCGTCCGAACCGGTAGGYGATGCMCCAACCGATGTCTTGGCCTCGAGATCTTGCCAGTCGTGTATCAATCCGTCGATGTCCATMGAACGGGTTTCGTTGTCACTTTCTCGTTCATCCTGGGTCTTGSTTCCCGGGCACGGCAAAACTCCGTGAAGCTTGTTTCCGGGGAAAACGAGGAAGGCATTGTCTTTGGGAATACACCGCCAGCAACAATCTCCRATACTTGTCGAGTCCGGGGTTTCGTCTAGCACGATAGTCGCACCGGCAGGAGACGACGCACTTGTTTCTGGGTTTCCGTCTTGCGCTCCGGTCAGRTACAAGACAGAAGACAGCACGGGATGGGTTACCTTACCCTCCTGATCGAGCATCGACTCGTCCGTGTCGAAGTGCAAATTGTGACCGAGATTGGCTTTGATGGGGCGGGTATGAGCCCACCACTCGAATCCACATATTTTAGGACTGGTMGCTCCGTCTTTCGCTGCTGCTGCTGTGTTGTCCAGGCACTGCTGGGCACGCGGCATCAGGTGATYGACGACGACTTCCTCTATTAGATTGCATGGTCGTTGCTTTTTATTCGCGGCATCGTATTCGTGGAAAAACGAAAAGTACCCCCTCGAAGCATAATCGGTCTCTTTCCAGAATGCAGCTGTCGGAGCAAAGRCCTTRGTCATGGCATTGTACAGGYGAGGGGGAAGCACGCCTCYGGCAGGCTGGAACACCACGGGAGGTTCGGCCAGAGCGGCGGGAACCGGTGTTTTTTCTGGTATCGACGGACTTATCTTCCACACATTCGGGTGGAGCCGATGGGTCAATCGAAAGGATTCCAAATGGGCCAACACTCTATCGTGATCGCCATTCATCGAGCACAGCATGGCACACATRAACCTCGACGTTGCTTCGATGGACGACGACGAATACCAACCCGCATCATCRTGGTCGYCATCCGTTTCCGGAGCATCTTCACCTTCGYCGATGTTCTGTGCTTCTTTYTCGCTTCCGTGATTGTCATTTTCCGCTTCGTTGCTTTCCATTTCGTCATTGGTTTYGCCGAGATCACCCCCGGGATTTTCATCATCGCCKCCACAGCCATCGACTTCGTCATCTTCTTCCGTTTCGTATTGGACCCCYACGATTTGATTGAGAACCAGSAGTTCGATCCATTCCTTTTCTTCGTTGGGGATGGATTCGTCTTCTACGGCAGCCAGTGCTTGTTCTCTCAGCACGGTCGATGTTCGGACCGCCATTTCGTACCAGTTTCTCGCCGCTCCCAGCGAGAGCGACTGCGACATCCGCCCGAAATTGGCGCCCATCGACCAGGTCGCGGCGTTGTACGGATACCATTCGAGGGACYKGACGAGCAGGCTTTTGGCACGGTCGCGAGCGGCGACAACCYCTTCGGACCCCGCTCGRTCGGTGCCGCTCGCAGGGGAGTCGTGTTGCTGCTGCTGCACCATCGCCAGGTATTCRGAAATGGCAACGTCGGCGAGGTGGTAGCAGGCGACGCTCAGCAGGACGTGGACCATTGTTCCTCTCGATTGCCACGCCGGACACACAACCTCGATAGAGTCGATCGAGTTGTTTGTGCCTTCCTTTCCCTCCGGAAGTTTTGGCTTTGAAATCTGATCCGTTGCAATCTCGATGAGTTCCTGGAGCTCATCGATCTCTCCGTCTTCGTCGCCGTCCAAGGAATCCAAGAAATTCCGGTAGTGTTCCCAGACCGTATGGACTAGTTCTTCCATATTGTTGTCATCGTCGTTGTCGTCTAGTTTCGCTCGTTTTACGATTGGTTCATCCGTCATGGTCGAATCGTGATGTCGATGTGGAACAATCGGGCAATTGCTTGCATTCGTTCTTCAGAAGTTCGAGAAGAGGATACGGATTTTGGAAATCGAYGGTATGATTGGTGATGGACGATGGGTGCTGAGGTTTTGGGAAGGGATATTTTTGAGGGATTCATTCGAAGTTTTKATGTTGACAGCATACAGCATCATACATTTTCCTACTATGGTACGTACATACGAAGGAGTAGTTAACGTACTTACTCTACGGACTCGACCGTAACGGTACGGTACGTTGTATGAAGGTGCCAATTGCCAGTTGTACGATACAAGATAACCCCCCTGCCTGCTCGGCGGCTGCACCACCACGCCACGTTGCCTTCCTTGCAGTAGTACGTACTCGTAGCCACTCAGATTTTGATTCGTAYTTCTCTCGGAACCTACAATGCTTTACGACATTGTACGTACGCATCGTASCATACATTCACTTTAAAGACAGGAGAAACGAATACGTACTACCATACCGTACTGCAGTCTACCAGTTACAGAACAGTATGTACGAGTAGAGTACCAAGTACCGTACCATCGAACGATTACTCGTACTTACACAACATCAATTCTACGATAGTGCGAATTCAAACTGCGTAAAAAGCTTTTGCGATTACTCGCAACTCGCCTCGCTCGGGGTGCGCCGAGCCGTGTTTTACTCAAGAGATACGAGATGAAATTTCAATCATGTGTGTTTTGTTTGTACGTACTCCGAACTCGTACAAGTACGAGTACTCGTGCCGAAACTCAGACGGCGCTGAAAAATTGATGCCAGTTGTGTTGTATCGTGGTTCCCCTTTGCTACAGTATTGCATCTCCGGCTCTGTCTCGAGTTCCACGACGGGCCCGGAAATTGCGGAACACGACCCTGGCCGCTAAACCGATCCAGCACGAAGGCAAAAGTCAATCGCGACAACCGAAACAACAACAAAGTTCATTCAAGCGTCCWGTGGCGAACGCAAACGCAAACAATCAATCACAAAGGTCGCACACAGTATTGTATTGCATCGCTTCGGAGTTGGGGCGCCTGGAGCTTAAGGTTTTTCTTCCTTGCACGCGATCCACCAGCGTCAGAGCATGGGCGGATCGACGGGAAACTATTCAGGTGGAAGCAGTGCCGCGTATCCTCCTTCGCTCTACGATACTTCCGTCTCTTCTGCATCGGGAGGAAGACCCTCTCGGCAAAATACCCCGGCACACAGCAGCGTTGGTCGCCAGCAACAAGAATATTCCAGGATGCCGAACTCTTATGCGAACCATCACCAGCAACAAAGAGGCCGCCACGYCTCTCCGAAATCGTCCCGTTCGATGAACACGAATTATTCCGATTACCCTCACCGACGTGATTATGCGAGCATGAGCGATCCGGGGGGAGGTTCTCGATTGGAGCACACACAGGACCAGTACCACCACGCGCAGAGCGAATACGCTCGCTCGGAGATTGTGTCGCCMTCGTCCTCCTACTACGAGTCACAAGAGAGGTTCCGCAATCCGGCACGCCGGTTCCAACACAGCAGCAGCTGGCAACACCAATCGGCAAAATCGCAGTCGCCCTCGTCGCCACCTCGGAGGGGGTTGCCCCCGCATCCCTATCATCCGCATCAATACAGTTCGCACAGCGCGCGGAGAGAACGTTCCTTTGACGAAACGTACCCGTCGTCGCCATCCCACCACGAGTCCCACCACGAGTCCCACCACGAGCGATCGTCGGTGGATACGTCCCAGTCGTCGTCCGTTAGGGACCTCAAAAAACAACTATGGGACCAGGACGAAGTATTGCAGGTACGGATCCCACCGTCGCCGCAGCGAATAAACCGGACGAAGCAACCAATACCGGGGTCGCCGGTGCGAGAATCGGGGAGGCGATCCTTGCACCAGCAATCGCACCAGAGAGGACCGTCTTCTGCCTCAAACGAGGTTTCCCGTTTTGCCCGATCTCTCTCGCCGCGCCGTTATCAACACCACCAGTCGTCGCACACTGCAAACAACAATGCCTCTCCCCAGATTCACATGGCCGGCAGCAACATCAGCGACACGTCCTACAACAACAGATTTCATTCCAAGTTTTACGAGGCCGCAATGGTTGCCCAGCATCGTGGCGAAGAGCAGGCGGAATCGCCGCTTCCTWSCAATAAGTACCCGCAGCATCGTCGGCACAGGTCGGCATCTTCCCGGCCTTTCGACGAAGATGGCCCGGACCAACACGCACACGAATACCAGAAACGTCGCAATCACTCAGCACAGGCGTCACCACCACTGCCCGGTGCATCGAATCGAAACATTTCTCCGGGGAATGCTGGAGACTATTATAAAAACGGCGGGCATGGTTTCACCAGAAAGGAAAGCAAACACGACAACAATGCCAGAAGACCTCCGAGAATGACCCCGTCGCCGCCGCCACCGTCTTCTCCAATCAGAAGGAGCCATGRACGCGACGAYAGACGAGCGAGTAGGGGAAGGAGCAGGGACGCATCGCAGCCCAAAAGCAACGATCGAAAGAGCATCAGAAGGGTGCGAACTCCTTCGCCACTTATTCTAGAACGAATGCGATCGTTCGACAATGAATACCACAGCGATCACAATCGCGAATCCGGAATCCCAAGTGGCCGGGATCGAGGCCACAAGAATTATGGTGCGGACCGCMACAACGACTACCCTGCGAAGGATTTTCGGAACSCGATGGATCGCAACGAGAGACGACACGATGGTCACCAGAACGCCATCGCCGGACGTTATAGGGGAAGTAGCAACATTGCAGACAAGGAGATCCTACGAAACCAACCCGGCGCTGGCAGAGCAACCAGTTCTTTTCGCAAGGACAGCGGCAACGATCGTTCGAAAGACAGAAACGTTGTGGCTATCGACAGGGACCAAATGCCGGGGGGATCCCGACCGAGGCAACAACACTCCCCTCGAGAAACAGTGCGCGACGACGCCGGCGGTGTTGAGGACGACATCGGCGGTGTTGAGGACGACATCCGGGTGGCGCACCTCGTTGACAAATTGAGTGCCATCAGCAGGGAAAATCCGGAAAGTGCTCTCGCACAGATCGACTCAATCTTGCGGCAAGAAAGTCGCAGTTTCCACGCACGTACCGTTGACAACACTCGCGGTGTCGGCAGGGCAGGGGACAGCAGCCAGCGGCGTGCACAAAAACTTGCCAAAGATCCACTCTCGAAACGAAGACAGGACGACGACGCTATTGGAGATAGAGATGCTATATACAACAATGACGACGACGACAACGACGAMGACGATGATGAATCATCTGATGTCTCCTCTTTAACAAACCCAACATTCCAACCAAATTCGTCCAGACCGGTGTATCCCACAATGTTAGATTCAGCGTATGCAACCGAGACCGAGCACTACAAACTCCACAGTACAGCCCCGAGCAACAATCCCGGTTCCAGGAATACCGGCATCAATCACACAAACACATCTCCTTTCACACCTTCTACCTCGTCTTTTCGTCGTCCGCGTCCTTCCCATTTGCATAACTACTCAAACCAACCGACACCCTCTCCGCCAGAAAAACCAATRAGCAGATCCGAACTGAAACGTCAACAACTTCAAAAGTATCCTCCGCCGTCTACCATCAAGGTGAAGGACGACGTGCTGAACACCGAGATTGCTCGAACAGCGTCAACCGACATGCGGGAGAGAATGTTGGAAAGAAACCAGTCGTCTCGCACGAAGAAAGAAACAAAATCATACGGTGAGCAAGAAGGCAAAGCGATGGAAGAAGGACCGAAGAACAAACTAGGCACGTTCATGACGGAAAAACAGGCACTAGCCCAGAAACTCCGTGGCTGGGACGAACTGAGCAACCAGGTGTCGGAATCTCGATCGGAGCAGGAGAGGAACGCTCAGGGCCGCAAGACTGCCGGGAGAGGAACAGAGGCCTCGTCTGAGTTCCAAAAAAACACCTCTAGACGCCATCCGTGGGACAACAAGATGGATTTGATTCAAACAAAGGACACATCCAACGAAGGGGAAGTCGGAATAGAACTGGAAATGGACGACACAGAGGATCATTACGCACGCGACACTCCCGGAACTTCAAGAAACAGATCTGATGATGACATTCAAAACAGACATTTTGAAGACGCGCGGAACAGCATCCGGAGCAGAAACCACAAAAATCCTTTCGACGACCACGGTTCTGATAGAACAGAGAATGATGCGGACGTGAGTGCTCACTTTCCCGACATCTCTTTCTCGGTGGAAGGCAGTAACTCGAACACGATGCCGAAGGTAAATTCTTCGCTGGAAGGTGTTCCCCAATTCCACCCAAACAACGAGGATCTCTCGAGAAACGAAGGAAAGAAACGCCATGGAAAAGGCTCGRGCGAGATGGACAACTCCTGGGTTGCGAATCCGTCGTCCTCCATCATTCCAAACKTCGACGATCGTTTGAAGCCCGCGAGTAACGAAAAGCCTCGGGCGAAAGTGCGTTCGCCTGGAAGGCAGCCTTCCACGCCAAAAGATCCTTCGGATCTATCGGAGCATTCAGCTCTCGAGACCGGGCACGGTGGCATCGAGTGGTCTCTGGACGATGCYAACCATCTGACAAGCCGGAATCTGTTGGGAACTGCTGAATCCCGATCTATTGGAATGCTGGCGTGCAAGACCATYGGAAACAAGGAATTGCAGCGGAAGGAGAAGAAACCTGGATTCTTGCGTGCCTTTATGGACAAGAAAAAGAAGAAAGCGACGGGCACCGGCTCGGCSGCATCCGCAGCGGTGGGAAGTGTGGGAGGACTCAGTGCTTCTGTAGAGAGTCGTGGTGTCAGAAGCGCGTCCCAGATCCATTCTCCAAGGAACGCGACGAACATTCGTCTTCTTCCTGCCCCGTATGGGGTTTTTGAATCCAAGAACGACTCTGCAAAGCAGCGCGGTCGAACGGGGAACCGAAGTGGCTCCGCTCCGAGGCACCGGTCGGGATCGTCGGAAAAATTCCGGAGCAGCAGCATGGCCAAAAAATTCAACCGTGTGATGCAATTATACGACACGGAGGAAATGTGAAGGCTCGGTTCCCGTATTGCGACGCAGGTTTGATTGCTGCCGACAGGGGTTGTTTCTCTAASTRCTATTACTMTCGAAGAATGATGCTAACCTTTCAATATRYAGGGGACTTGAATCGATAGTGTGAAATTTTTCTATCTCTGCTAGCCCATCCGTATTTCCATAGCTAGTGTACTATGGTTCTAGTACTACTACTATTACTAGTACTGCTAGAACTACTACTGTCATACTAATGTAATCATTACACTTCTGCTACTAATTGCGTAACCACCGGTACTAGTAGTAGTGTTATTTCTAATACTTGACCTACTAGCAACAAAAAGACAAACAGATAATAAGTTGCAAACAGAAGTAGTAGTACGTCGTACAGCAAYAGTAATGGTAGTAGTACAGGAAGCAGTAAGTCCTTTCGTTCTCTCCTTCCGCATCGTATCGAGCCCGAAAACAAAAATATCAGTCGTGCGTTGCAATCGCATTTACAACGTGTAAGAACGGGACGGTCACATGATTTTTGAGTCATTCAGAAATTTTCCTTCTCCCGTGTCTCAACGGTACGATCGGCACACGGCCCAGACACCATCAAGAATGGGGCAGTCACCCATTCCCAATCACCAATCGATTATACTGTACCGCCCAATACTTTTAAAGCTTGTAATATATAAAAATAAATCAAAATGGTTCTCCCAGCTCCCGAAAACCCTCGCATCATCGCTCTCTTCGACGTCGATGGCACACTGACGGTTCCCCGAGGGGAAGTCAAGGAAGACATGATGGATGTCTTGAAGGAACTCCGCAAGAAAATCACGGTCGGCATCGTTGGTGGATCGGATCTTCCGAAGCAACAGGAACAGCTCGGCGAAGGCATCGTCGACGAAGTGGTTTGGAACTTTAGCCAAAACGGCTTGGTTGCCTACAACAACGGCGAACTCCTGGAATCGAACTCGATCTCCAAGCACCTGGGAGAAGACAACATCAAGCGCATCGTGAATTGGGTCATGAAGTACCTGGCCGAACTGGATCTCCCCGTCAAGGTAAGGAATCACKAAACACCGACCGAAAAATTTCATCTCGCGTAGCGATTGTTGTCCACTGACAATCACCCGTGCCCGATCCATTGCGTGTCTCGATGCGATTCAAATTTTCAGAGAGGAACTTTTRTCGAATTCCGAAGCGGCATGCTAAATATTTCGCCCATCGGGCGCAACTGCTCCCGGGAGGAACGAAACGATTACGAGGTTTTCGACTTGGCAAACAACATTCGCAAGAACATGGTCGAAGCCATGAAGAAGGAGTTTTCCGACCTCGATATGACCTACAGCATCGGAGGACAAATCAGCTTCGATGTCTTCCCAACCGGATGGGACAAAACCTATTGCTTGCAGTACCTGAAGGCCGAGGACTTTGACGAGATCCACTTCTTTGGTGACAAAACCTTCGAGGGAGGAAACGACTTTGAGATTTTCACGAGTGAACGGACCATCGGACACACTGTCACGTCGCCCGAAGATACCATGGCGCAACTCAATGAGCTATTTTTGAGCTGATTGGGTACTATAATATCGAATCGCCGAAACCATTTTCGGAGCAACTCAAGTTTGTTCGGACATTTTTCTAGAGATAAAATAATCATTGGATTCTAATAATCAACTATAGCCTTGCCGTRTTTTCAAAAACATATGATACTTCTAGATAAAACAGTGGCTCCGTCAACCATCCTTTTGGCCTCGATCGATTCTTGTTATATTCGTTCGTCGCAAGTGATCGATCGCATTCACGATAGCTTCCTGGGGCGATTGGACAAGCATGCTTCACACTTTCGTCTTGACATTTTGTTTTCCATCGTGCACTTCCGGCACGTCCAAGTACCCTTCTGCCGCGGAGATGTGCGTTGTCGGGGACCATCATTCTCGTCGCTACACATGGATAGGAATTCTACGCTTGTGCTGCTGTTAGAAACATCACTGCCAGGTGACTCAATGATTTGAGCCTCCGGGGTTCCGCTGTTGCCATCTCGGTCCATTTGCGGAGAATCACCAACGGATGCAGCCATATCTTCTTTGGTCGCTTCTACCAATTCATCGTTGTTGTCCATCGAAGTTGTCCCCTCTGCATTCTCGACAGCCATCAGATCATCAACTTCCCCTACACCAGCATCCTTCGCATCGTCTGACATCTGGGCTGCTTTGCTTTCGTCCCCCGATTCCTCTTCTGCCTTCTGGAGTTCTTCCATCTCTTCTAGTTCTTTCATGGCGGCACGGTCCTCTTCTTCCTGCTGGCGCTGTTGGATCTTTCCCCACGTAACTTCCAAACCAAACACGAAGCTCACGGAATCGTAACCCCGCATTGCAGCGCGGAAAATCGGATCGTCGACGGTATCGGTCGTGTGGTGGTGGGACCACGATCGCATGTTTTCTTCGTCGGGCATGCCAATCTGCTCCTGGTAATCGTCCCCTCGCTCGTTTTTCAAATGGGAGCATCCTTCCATCAAGTCGRTGGAGATTTCTTCGTCGACACCGTCTTCTCGTTTTTCGGGATCGGGCGTCATTGTCATCAAYACGGGAACGAGTTCTTGCCATTGTCCCACCCACCAGCTGTGGAGCCTCCCTGCGGCGTCGGCAATCGGGTCGTCCCCGGGAGACCAAACTTTCATCACATTTGAAAATATACGGTTGACGTCTTTCGAGACATTTGAGACACTTTTGTACGACTGTATGCCCTTGCCATTTTGTTCTTCGGGAACCATCAGGCGTTTCTGAATGCTTCCAAGATCGATGGGTTGCTTTACCTCCTTCTCGTAGTGTTCCTTGGTCACTTTGTGGTCCTGGGGATCRAGAGGRTTCAAAAAGTAGTGGGCATCCTCGTGTTCCATCATTTTGTTCACCAGCTCGAGGCAGGCAGCAAGCTTCTTTGGGAGAACCTTCTTTTCCTTCATTTCTGCGTCGTCGTGAATGATTTTACAGCGCTCGCACTTGAGTTTGTCGTGCGTATCGGATGGCGTATCGGATCTCAGTTTGAAGAGATTGCGCAAATCTTTGGTGCTCAGGGCGTTGACTTGTTCCTTGTCATCGACCACGGATTGAAGTCCCTCCTTTGACAGCTGGCGCTGAAATATTTTTTCCTCGACGGTACCGGTYGCGAGAAATCGATACGTGAAGCATCGCTTCTTTTGTCCGTCACGCCAGCACCGGGCAGCTGCTTGTTTGTCCACGGCAGGGTTCCTAGARKTTGTAAGCAGAAACACAGAGCGTCGAGGTGCATTTGTGAGCTAAGAGCATGTTGCGACCTCCCTTCAAAAAGGAATCGCGGCTAGAGTGATTACTTACCAATCGGGATCAAACAACACCAACCGATTGCCCCCAATGAGATTCAAACCACATCCGCCTGCTTTGCTCGAGAGAAGGAAGGMGACCAAAGAGCTGGTGGGGTCGTTGAATTCGTCTACCATCTTTTGACGCTTCTTCATGGTGACGCTCCCGTCCAGACGGCAAAATCCCCACGAGTTCTCGCGGCACATCCGCCCGATCAAATCCAGCGTCTGTGTGTAGTTGGAAATGATCACGATTTTGTCGCCACCGTTCCCGGGCTTGCGCATCTCTCTCATGAGCCTGTACAGCACGAACATCTTCCCGCTCCATTCGGGGTGAATCGGCCCCTGGTTCCCACGGCCTCCGCCGCCGCTGGAAAGTGGCAAAAACTTGCTGATTCCATCGGCTCCCGGAGCAGCAAAGGAAGGTTCGTCTCCGTCGGTGTATTTGACCTGCTTGGCTGCGGCTCTGCGYCTGCCGTTTTGTTGCTGCTTTTGGCCGTGTGTTTCGTCGTATTCGGCCACCAAGCTTGGGTGGTTGCACAGTTTCATCAGCATTTGAATCGACCCCAGACAGTTCACTTGTTTTCCGTCCATGACGTGTTGCATGGCCTTGCTTGTAACCTAATCAAAAAAAGGATGTGAGTGAAGGGTAGAAAGTTATGCAAATGAGTATGTATTCGAGAGAGAGAAAAAACGACAATCGTTTCCAATGGAACTATTTCTACCCCGGTATGGGAATTCGCACTAGTACGTACCAGGTGCGAGTACATGTTTTTTTGGATCTCCGTCAGGTTGCAACACACSACCTGTACCAGTTTCGGTGGGAGGTGCTGTGCGTTGACGGTGTTGATGCGTCGCAGAATGAACTCGTTGACGGTGGAGCTCATCTCGTTCTGGATCTCCATCATGCGCTGTTTTTGGCGTGGGCTCGCGTCCGGTTCGCGGCCCCTCAGAATGGGGAACAAAATGTTCTTGCGGAATTCTTCCTGGGTACCGAGGACGCCCCTGTTGGTAAAGTCYGTCATGGCAAAGAATTCCGTCAGGTCGTTCTGCATCGGGGTTCCGGTGAGCAGGACGCGGCGCTTGACGGGAAGCGAGTTGAGGGCCCTGCTGGTCTGGTTCTCGCTGTTCTTGAGGCGGTGGGCCTCGTCGCACACGAGAAGGTCGCAACAGCCGGGGTATTTGGTCAGTCGCCCCACGTGGGTTCTGAGACACTCGTAGCTACAGATGAGGATCTGGAAAATCGAGGTCTTSGCGAAGGTTTCCAGGTCTTTCTCGATCTTCTTCCGATCCGCCTCGGCAATGGCCAGGGTCTTGACCCCACCGGGCCCCAGCCACTTGACGAATTCGTTGTCCCAGTTCTTGACGAGCGAGCAAGGACAGACAACGACGACCCGCTTCGCCGTTGGTTTCTTGTCGGCCGTGATTCCTGTCTTRAGRAGCGTATAGATCAGCGTGACGGATTGGAGGGTCTTCCCGAGCCCCATGTCGTCGGCAAGAATGCAGCCCTGTCCCCCGTAGTCCTTCATTCCCATTACGCATTCGTAGATGAATCGGACACCTTCCCGTTGGTGCGGTCGCAGCCACTTGGCGAGAATGGGAGGAACAAACACGTTTTGTTGGCTGTACCGCTGCTTTGGTTCGGGTTTCAGAATCGTTACGGTTTCYTCCACTCCGTATTCGTCCGTTTGGACCTCCGTCACTCTGTGGATGAGAAGAAACAGAAGGGTCGATCGAAACGAATTGCAAAATGCAAGCCAGGGCAAACGACGAAGCAAGAGCGAATGTGTGAGATTGTAGGAAACGTGCGAGGCATTGCGCAACGAACAAGCCAACGGACCGACCGATCGAGCATCGAACTGGAAGCAATCCCCCGGTGCTGCGCCGAGTCGAGCCGAGCCGAGAAAGCCCGCAGCCGTTCTCTACTTACAGAGTGGGCGGCAGCCCCTTGGCTTCCCCGCCCTGGAACGGGCTGTTCCACACCATCAGCGGCTCGAAGGGCCGGTCTTCCTCCTTGTCGTCTTCGTCTCCGGACGAGTCGTCGGTGCTGCTCCCGTCGGCGCCGGCCCGCGGKCGCTTGCCRAGGAAGTGGAGTCCCTTTCCGGCACGGCTCATCAGRCGCTCCATCCCCCCCATGCTCCGCCGGGCCCCCAGGGAGGACTTTCTWAGGAGCTCGTCCTCCCTTCCCTTGTAGGCCCGCCGGCCCAGCTTGGGCCGCCGGAAGGGCTTGAGGAGRCCCGCCGACCCCACCACGACGTTCAGCCCGCACATGATGGGGGCCCGCTGGATCGCGGAAGCGGTCCCCCGCTTCTTCCCAAAGGTGGCGGCCGGGACGATCGGGGCGGGGGCTCCCGGGGCCGGTCCGCGGGAAGGGGCGCTCCCCCTCTGGAATCCGGGCCGGCCGAGGCCCCCTGCCCCGAGCGGTCGTTTCCGGGAGAAGGACGACCCCGTTACCGAGCCGAGGCCGCCGCCGATCCGGCGCCCGTCGGGACCAAAGGACGACCCGCTCTTGCGGCGTTTCCCCTTTAGCATGGTTGGAACGGAATGCGGATGAAAATGGAAATGCGGTGTGATGCGATGCGATGCGATGCGATCGGGGTTCAGAGGGACGGAGAATGGGTTGTCGTTGTTGTCGCTGTTGTTGCCTTGTCTTCTTTGTTGTGTGCCGTGGTGAATACTTCTCTGTCGAGCCGAGAATCAACCGGTGAGGGCACTGCTGCGCACCACTCTGTGATCCAAGGAATCGGTTCAAGAAGAGAGAAACACCCCGGAAAGATCGTTCCGACACGGTCCGCCTTCGTACAATTGCACGAAGCGCTCACACACACGACCGTCTGCCAGAACGGGTGCGATACGAGTACTTTACCGTACGGTGCGACGTCCAGTGCCTTACGGCATCAATGTCTTGTTRGAGAGAGAGAGAGGTGATTGCCCGTTCCGCCCGGCATTGCTTGCTAAGAAAGCCGGGCTACGGTGGGAATCCATAGACATKCGGTAGGGTAGAGTACTAGAACGTACGGTAGCCTGATTCTACCACGGGATCCAAACGCTGGAATTAYGGGAGTTCTATGTACGACTGACTCGGTTTCAACGAGTAACACTGGTTGTGATGTAGTACATGCACAGTAGAATCCTACGCAAATTCATTATATCGAGTAGACGAACAACAATTCAAAATGGCGCGAAAACTAGGAAAAGCACAGATGAAAAGAAATTCGTCCTTAAATTTCCATGTAGAGAAGTACTGGTACTATCGAAGTACGTACTGTGCTGTAGTTCGTATTGGAAGACACCGAAGTTTTCTACAGGAAGTGTACCTGGTACAAGTACTTACTTCGTAAATAATACCATCCGAAGTACGAGCCTACCTAAGGTATGGTAGCGAAGAAATACTGTAATGATGAGACTAGGGCGCCGTACGGTACCTGGTACCWGCTTTGCGAAGCAGAGAAGAAGCAAAAAACCACAGCAATACACTGCGGTCCTCTCGCACGAGCATAGGGTTGAGCACAAGGAAAGGCACCTAAGGGATGCAAGAGAGGTCTCGTGTATCTTTGCTTTGGCTTGCCAGTGACAYGAAAAAAAAGGTCGGAGGAGCTCCTGCGAGACAGAACTCTTATGAAGAAGGGTAGGGTAGAGAAAGTTTCAGAATAAGTAGTGCTCCTAGACTTAATAGTTATGGTAGCAACGTACAAGCTACCGGATTTTATAGGTTCGGTGCCATAGTCATACGATCGGTGCATAGTCGGGCCATTCCCGGGCAGAGGGGCACCGACGAGCTCCAAAAACCTCGTTCGTTTATTCTGCTATGGTGGCCGGCCTCTTTCCCCGATTGTTTCTCCAGAGCACCGGCCTCCGGCGCCGCCGAGCGTGCCCCAGGCTTCCCGGGCGCCCGGGGGAAGCATCCCTTCCGGCCGGACCGTCTTCCTTTGCTCCCGCCGTGGCGTTCGCCGTGGCTCTCGCTTCGGCTTTTGCCACCGGCTCCCCCCCGTCCGCCGTCGTGACCGTCAGCGCGGTCGTCGAGGCAATCCCGACGTCCCCCTCCCCGATGATCCGCGCCATGATCCTCGCCGACCGGCTCGACCGCAGGGACCGGCTGGCCACGACCTTCTCCCGGAGCAACGACTCGGAAATCGCCGCCTGGGCCGACAGGACGCTCGAGACGTGCTCCTTCCGGCGCTTTCTGAGGCGCGGGGCGATCCCCCACTCCATCCCCCGGATCGCCAGGGGCACCGAGATCCGCGCCCGCTCCAGGAGGTCCGAGGCCTCCAGGGTGAGGGGGACCTGCATGCTGGTGAAGCAGACCGAGGAGAAGCTCCGGACCTCGCGGGCGTGCGAGGCCCGAAAGGCCTTGAGGACCCGCTGGCACTCGGCCTGGGCGTCGAGGCGGTCTTGCTTGGTGGACCACAGGAGGYGCTTGGAGGCCTTGACCTCCGCCCTGGTGAKGTCCGAGGCCAGGTAGGTCGTGGTCGCGGCAACGTCCCCAAAGCCGACGCGCTTTTTGCGCGGCCTTCCGAGCCGCCGCTTGGCCAAGGTGCAGCAGGCATGGGTTCCTTCCACCGTTTCTCGCTCGGTGTCGTCTTCGTCGGAGGACGAGTCGTCGCTGCTCACCGGGTTGGGAGAKAGCGGTCTTGTGGGTCGTCTTGCGTGGGTGCGGGTGAGCGAGCAGGAAAAGGCCTCGGCGCGGGTTCGTTTCTTGCGGTGCAAGGCAAGGGGTGCGGACKCCCTCGGTGTCGGGGGAGACGATTCGTAGGCCCGTTCGCGAAGGGTCCCGGCCTGGAGGTCCGACTCGGTGGCGCTGCAGAGGTAGCCCATGGTGCTTTGCGGGATGTGTGCAGGCCAAGAATTCACAAATAACAGTAGCAATACAGTAGTATTGATAGGGTTCGAAATGAGGTGACAAAGTGTCGCAATCGTATAGCAGTAGAAAGAACAGCAATCGAGAGTCGTTGTGCGGTGCGGGTGCAGTGGACAGGGAGAGCAATGCTACTTAGTTGCCTTGTGAGTACCCTTAGCGATATGTTTGTTAGCAATGAGTGTGTGTGAAGGATAAGGTTGTCTGTTTCTGTGGGAGTGGTTTGCGATATTGTAGTAACGATGTTCGAAGAGTTCGTGCAAGTATCATAACACGACAGCCTGCTGTGGTTGTGAAATAATTCGCGTGTACCACATGGTACGAATAGAGCACTCGTGGAAGTAGTTGTTTGCTCAACGCYAATTGTATTGAATCAAAACATTCGCACTGTATTCGGTTTGGTTCGCAATGCGACTGCGGTATTTCTAGTATTCATAGTACAATAGAGCTCGTACCGGTGCGGTAGTACAAGTAAGTAATTATCGGTATTGAAAATGGGTGTTGGCCGTCTGGCGTGTCATGCGGATGAGGCAAAGCATAACAAAACCAGGCATCTCGTGGGAGCGCTTTGCCAAAAAGGAAGGAAGAATCTCAATAATCAGTCGTTTATCAMTCATGTTCCTGTGCCAACAAAACTTCGTCACGGGGTCTGCGGAGAACCGAACCGCTAACCGCAATAATATTATTTTGATACGTTATTCGTACCGTACTACGTTATTACTGTATCTATTGTTGAGGGTTTTGCCGAAGAAACCACCCCATTGGGTGCACGGGCAGGCAGTGTAGTAGTACTGGCGAGTTCCTACGACTGAAGCGTTCGGTATCGTCTTTTTTGGGAGTTTGTGGTTCGCTRACGGGTTTTGGAGKTGCTGTGTATCGGTTTTGTTTCTATTTTCATCGAATTCCGGTATTTTGGTTTGAAAACGAAACGTTTCTCTTCCCGCCAATCATCGTCATTGCATCCGTTTTGCGTAGATTGTTCTTCTCCAACKGGATGTCGTCTCTTTCGAAGCTTCCGAAAAATCTGTCGCCGATCTTCGAAACCACGGACTACGTTGCGTATGCCGCACCGTAGGCTTGGCTACGGTACTCATCCAGGTGGTAGAAATTCGAAGTATTAAGTAGAAGTACTTYAATTGTTCTACGTACGGTGTTCTACGTACGTACCGACCGTACKGAGCCACAAGAACAATTGTGTCAAACTCCCAACAGAACGTGCGCCCGCGTCASAGCGTCTGACGTGACGCGCCAAAATCTTTCTCGGTGTTCGGCTTGAACCCAACCGTTGGACGTCCATCCGTCAACCTGGGGGGGTGCTATTTGAAGCGTTGGTCGACAAAAATACCCCGAAATTTTCGTTTCTGTCTCAACAATCAATAATCCGATCGTGCCAGAATAGATAGAACGCACTACCGGTACGTACTTGTACTACGCAAACTTCTCATATCAACGGTAGAGAACGAAAGGGTCCATGGGCGSGGTGATGTAAGGTAGGTACCTGCGTACCATCGTCCTCCTACCTACTATTACTAGAATTGTTTTTTGGTTTTAGTTCTTCGGCTCTTTGTAACTAACCAAGATCGCAAACATTCAAGAAATCCTCGCAGATCACAAGATACCTCCTCACTGGAGGTACATCAAAATTGAATCTGGGGAGCTCATTTTGAATTAGTACGTACTACTTTCATTACAATTTTACTACCCGATTTTGTCACATACCACGCCATTGAACGATGGGTCTGGGTCATCGTCGGGCACTGATCGGAGCCGATCGAACGTCGAGACTTGACGAACACCAGCGCCAAAACCGACSCGAAAACAGCAGCCGATTGACCCGACGAGGTGCTGCAGGTGCGGGTTGTGCTAAAATGTTATTGTTCACGGTGACAATCCTTCTTTGCATTATGGGCAACCAAATGGTGGTGCAACTGTACGAATACGCCTATCACAATCACAATCACAACGGCGATCATCAAAGCAACGAGCAATTGGGCATCGGCGGTGGCGGAGGTAGTGATGGCAAGGACGGTGCTGTTGTGAGTAGGACCGCAACGAACGACGAAAATAAAAATAAAACCGAAATCGAAATCGAAATCAAAATCAAAATCAAAAACGAAATCAAAGACGAAATAGAAAACAAAGCAAATAATAAGGGGGGAGCCAACAACGACAAGAAGTGGAAATGGTTCGACGGTGATTTGAACGCATACTACAACTCTCTCGAAACTCAAATTCAYGACCGGGACCCCTCCAAAATCGCCTCCTACGCGGTCCACCGATGGATGGGGCCCAAGGGATCCACAGAGGAGCACTATGAACTAATCGATCGTGCAGTGGCACAGCACCATGCCACTGTCCGAAAACTAAAGGTCTTTGACGCCGGGTGTGGATTGGGTTCGGCGCTGATGTTCTTCGAAAAGAGACACCCCAACTGGGATATGACSGGACACACCATATCGGAGGAGCAGCACCGGTTTGCGGAGACGAAACTMCCGAAACACAACTTCCAAGTCAACCTTCGATCCTATGACGAAATCGATGCCATCGACAGCAACAGCGGCAACGGCGACAGCAAAACTATTTCCTACGATGTAATCTACAGCATAGAGGCATTGATTCATTCCCCCAATGTCACCCACACGATGAAGGAGTGGGTGGATCACCTCGAACCTGGAGGAATCGTGGTCATCATCGATGACTTCATCTCGGACGGAGTCGACAAACATCACCACGACATTCAGGCCTTTTCCAAATCGTGGCTGGCAAACGTGCTCATCACCCCCACCGAACTCGAGGAGCTCGCAAGGAATGTTCTTGGGTTGACCGTGGTGGAAAACCTCGATTTGCTCGCCGAATACGAAATCGTGAAACGCAACTACCATAATAAAAAACCGGTCATCAAACCCGTTGCCGACCGCAACCACCAGGGATGGATGGGTTCCAAGTGGAGACAACGYCTGACGGTGGAGGGGAAGCTCTCCTACAACATGATCGTCCTCAAAAAAGACAGAGAAAGACGATCCTTAGAGACGACTCGACGATGTTGTGACGATGGACGGTGAAATGTGCGCTTCGGTTCCTTCCATCAAAATGGACGGCGAGAACGAAGAACAACGCGCAAGCTTTCCCAATCACGCCACAGCTCATGTCGGGAAGAGGAGCGGGTGGTGACAATAAGATGGCTTGCATCTYCGGTTGTTACTGCTACAACAAGGGACTAAAGTGGTACGACCACCTTGACGCCCATCGCACAGACAACACAGCGTAACTGAAAGCTGGACCGGAACCTTTGTGGCCACTACATCGAAGTCTTTGCAAAGCACCTGAACGATCACTACGGAAGCTACCCCGCAGCATCGTCATCAGCATCGTCGAGCACCGAACGAGGGAGATTCTTGGACATTGGAGGCACGGGARGCACGGCGTCCGGAATGACTAAGGTGACGAGCAAATTTCAGCACTTCGCGGGGCCACTAGAGTACTGGAAACTCCACTCGGACCCGGCCGCCAAGGACCTGGAAMGAACCCTCTTTTGCGACAGTGACGATTGTCTCACCGCTGAAACCTGTGGCTTCGACGTCACGTTTACCCACACGGTACTCGAACATGCCAAGCAGCYCTGGAAGTMTTTCGRCACGATCGCGCGCATCACGAAGCGCGGCGGGCTGACGATGCACCTGGTGCCCTGGTCGTASCAATACTATGCCACCCTCGAYGACAACTACCGGTTCTGCCACAAGGCCCTYGTCACCSTCTTCGAGGATCGAGGATTCGACGTTTTGGAGGTCGGATACGACGTCTGCTCCAAGCCTGACCAMAYGAAGAATCGAATCGACGAACACTATGATGTTATTTGGCTGACCTACGTAGTGGGCCGAAAACGACAGTCCCTTCATAACGTTCGGTTCGGTTATGTGTACGGAATAGATAGCTGTATAATAATATTGTCAATAGGATGCCGATTCAAATCTAGCAGAAGCAACAATTGCAGCACGCAATCGATTTAAGGTCATAAAATAATATTAATATTATTCTTATCCCACCTCCAAGAATTGGCATGAACAGACTGCAAAACAATACATTTGTTATGATTTGGTATGGTAGACCAGTAAATGCTGTTTGCGCATAGACTGCTGTGGATTAGAAGTACTAGTTTTATGTTTTATTCAATTGACGTCTAGTTGGAATCTTTTATGTAGTGTATTAACTTAAATATGTAACAGTGAGTATGATCTTCATGTATCTGGTTTTTTTAGKACAACAAATTGAGTTCAAGATTGAAACCACGTTCRATTTCTTTCAAAGAGGCATTMAGAATGCCAGCAMAGAGGTTATATCAAGCATGCTGGTATCCTTATCACAGTTGAATGAGATGGTCATAGCTGCTGTGGTCCTCAACGTTCTTGGATGTCGCGGCCCCCAACAGGTCCAAGTAAAGCTCCCCGTAGGCGGTATATTCGAGCCCTTGCGTGTAGACATTCGGCAGCRYGGCAGTSACCCCCTTCGGGGAACCGGGGACGCCCACGGCGGGTTCGATTTGGGTATCCTCGTGCCACTCGTTGAAGGAGTTCACGAGGATCATGTTGTCGACCTGCGGATCCACCAATTCGAGGGCCTGCGACAGCTGGTACCAGAAAAGGCTGCCTTCTTCGGCATCCGCCGACAAGCGTCTCGACAGGGGAGGATTGTTGTTCTGGAATCGCACGCTTCGGTCGTTGTATCCGGGTGACACGGGTGGGATGTATCGGCAGTTCGCCTTTAGTGCCTGGTTCTTCCATTCTTGCTGGTCCGAATAATACTTGTCCACGGCCTCCATTCCTGCATAGCCATCGGGTCTGCCACTAGATCCATAGACGTCGTAGTTCGTGACAGCATCAAARTACCAGAATGGAACGAAGTCTTGGTCGGGGTCCGGTGCAGAGTCGAATACCTGGTCACCAATCAGATAAAGATTGTGGCCACATTTGCTTGCTTCGCTTCGCATGGTCAACAACGCCTCTTCCAGCACACCGTCTTCATGGAGAACCCGCGTCACGTAGACAAACAGAACGGGTCGGCCATCAATCTTGTAGTAGTTCGGATGATCGAAGTAGTTCTCGCAAATGTACTCGATGTCGCTACGAGGCGTAGACATGTTGGTCTTGTCCTTGATCCGGCCAATCGTCTCGTAGTGAAGGGCAATCTTGAGGTTTCCAACATCTTCGTGCTYCAGGATAACATCTTTGGTAGTBGTGTCCTCGACCCTGCCGGGTCCCCACCACGAGGTTACCAAGAGACCAATGTTGGCTCGGCGGAACCACTCCATGTGCTGCTTGATCACAAGGGGATTGGAATCGTCGTATTCTCCAAGGGCGGGCTGTTGGGGAGGAATAAGACTTTCGCGGAGGTATCGTTCATTGCTGTGGAAGTCCTCGCTGTACCATGGGTAGTAGTATGCTCCGACCAAGTAATTGGTGTTGGCGGTGTAGTCKAACTCGACGATTTCCTCAGATGGCTGCTCTTGTGTAGTTGAGTTATTGGACGCGTCATCGATGTTAGCACCAACTTCTTCCGATTGCTCGGTATCGCTATTGRCACTGAAGTCGGACTCCATGGTCAGATCTTCCATTGTAGTATTACTGATATCTTCCGCAGTCGTTATGTTGGTACCTCCGATCTGGTTCTGGCTTCGCTTTCGCATCATGATGGTCACACCTAGACCGATTGAAAAGAATACTAACAGCACTGCAAAAACAACGCATGCGATGTAACCGGCACTATAGCGGTACTCTTTGTCCGCGTCATTGTCTTGTGATTCATTATCTCCACCGTCGCTATTCGGAAGGGTTCTTTCCCCTACCGATCCTTGATCACCTTTTGTGGTGGTTTCTTCTGGTGCTGGAAGATGCGCCARGCTGCGTTGATTGAACCATGATCCGGTACGACTCGAGATCAGGGACGGGTTCGTTCGYAGTGACTGCAGAAAGTGAGGTTCGCCACCGCAGTTGCTTCCATTGTTTTCTTTTTCTTGATCACTTTCAGGACTGTTGAGAACTTCGGGGTTTTCGGGATCCGTACCCTCTACCGGTACGTTCTTCGACCGGAAATGACAGAGGTCGGATTTGTCCGCAGCATTCTTCACCGTTTCCATACTGCGAGAACAGCTTTCTGCTGTCGCCGCACCGATATCACCACACACTTCTTGCGTGTTGTCGGCCCAATAGGAAACATCCTCCTTTTTGATTAACCACTCGAAATTAGGCATCTTCAACAACGATCTCTTCCTTGCACAATACCTTTTRACKTTTTTTGACCAAGAGATATGGTTGGGAAGATGACAGTTACCAACAACACRGCAATTCCTATCTTTCGACCTTGGATGGATGATGATGACGGCATGCGAAAAAGGCGCGACCGGGAAAAGTGAGGGGAAATTTTCGACGTGACATCTAGCAGCAAGACATAGTCTGCCGAGCGCGCCCTTTCCGTTGGGAGTGTCAACCGTAATTAATTTATGTTACTTATTCATTTGAATATTTTACTTAGGAACTTGAAAACGTCTTTATGCCCGTTACTAAAATACGGGTTCCTTGTCGATTGAAAACGCGCTCAATGCACGATTCGGAGTCTCTCACGTTTAGAAGAATTTGAATTTTACCACATACATCATCACAGTAGAATACAGTACATTTTTCTACAGCCCTGGTTTTGAGACATTTCTGTAGTTTTCCACCCCAATCAATCTTCTGTTGACGCTGAAGATTCGAATCAAGAAGGACTTCGAAGTAATATTAAATTGTACCGGCACTGTAACAAGTGAAGTACGGTACGAGGTAGTAGGAATGCAAATGTGTGGATCGAATCYGGATCAGATTATKAGTACTAGTACAATAAAACGTGCCAGATTTTAGCTTTGAGGAGCTATCTTTGCTTGCTTGTTAAGGCTAGGAAAGCACCAATCATAAATCTAGAATCCATTAGTTGGGAAGTGCAGGGTTTTCTTTTCTCTTAACAAGAAGAACTRGTAATTCTTGTTGCTATGTGAATTTTGAAGAGAACCATTTCCATGCCACCTCGTAGTACTTCTTGTCATGGTATTTCTAGTACWASAATATCCTCATTGAATGAGAGATCCTTTGCATCCCATCTATACTTGATATTTTCACTGGCTCCTTCACAAGCACCATGCATRAAAAGGATGYCACCATCAAAATGAACTGCTTCAGGTAMKRWGGTGACAGGTTTGACTTGGTGTCCTTCCCCTTCATTTGCATCCATGATGTAGACATTCATATACCTCATCACCTTGTTGTCATAAGTCTGTTTCTTCTCTGGTTCAGCCTGGTACCGCTGAGCTTTGATTGAGTCAGGAGCAATAGGGAGCAACAGCTGATAGAAAAAGAACGCATCTCCGTTGTCAATGCGATCTTTTGTGAGCCCGTGCTGCTGAAGCTTGTTGTAAATATCCAACTTCCCCTTCCTCTCATCTGGAAACATGTTATGTCTCCTTGCAAACTTCCTTGAAAACCTGTCATTGTTAGGATCTTCTGCTGTAGCACCCCATACTTGGTAATGGAACTTCCATCCATTGTGCTCTCTGATAGGTTCCTTGCCATGAGCAGCTAGTAAGTGTTTAGGAACATCCACTGGCTTACACTCACCAGAAGGAAGAAAGTGACCTTTGTATTTGCCAGTACCTGCTTCAAAATTTGGTCTGTAGTAATATGGGTGCCAACAACCTGGATTATCAACATCCYTCCAGTCTCTTGGTTCCCCTTTGTGAACCTTTGGATCCTTCCGATCAAAACCCACTGGGACCTTTGGGAAGCTAAGACGACTGTTATCAACAATAGTTCCATCTTTCCAATAGAAGAACTCAGTATCRTGAGGCTCAACCRCATTTTCCCAATTCCAATCTGTTTGGCTCTGACTGATAACATTGAAAAACTCACCAGCTTGTGCAGCCTCCTCGTGACCCATTCCTGAAGAATCAGAATCATAATTAGGCTCAGTTTCATCAACAAGCTCCTCCTCATCACTTGAGCTTTCATCATCCTCAAACAAAGTTTCCACATCTGATTCTAACTACTTGAACACTGCTTCCTCAAAGGCAGATGCTTGGGACTCAAAGAAGGCTGGTTGTCGTGTTGTTGTTGAATGTTGGTTGGTTCTTGACAAATGTCAGTTGGTTATGTTGTTGAGTGGCATTGATAATGTTGCTGATACTGTTGCTGTGGAAATACTGTTGGGAATGGGACTGTTGCTGGAGATATTGCTGATAGTATTGCTGAGTGTTGCTGCTTCTGATTACTGATGATGATGGGAGTCGTCAATTCAATGTCATTGATTCCTTCATCTTCTTTTTGTTGTTGTTGTTGTTGATAGTGTCGAGGACACATTGTCCTGTTGTGTTGCTGATACTGGTGGTGTTGCTGGAGATGAACTGTTGCTGATGAGTGTTGCTGAGCATCACTGTTAACAGTATTACTGAGCGTTGCTGCTGATAGTATTGCTTGATAATGATGCTGCTGGTTGTTGTCGTTGTTGCTGCTACTGATTAGTGCTGCTCTGCTGCTGATGGGAGTTGTCAATTCGTTGTCGTTGATATGTAGCTTGCTTGGATCAAGAATCATAGCTGCTGGTTAGAGTTGCTAAGTAGTGTTGCTGATACTGTTGCTGGAGATGAACTGTTGCTATAGTGTGGCTGATTAGTGTCAGTGGAGGGGGGGCAAGCAGATATTGGTTGTTGGAACAAGAAGCACTTTCACTGGAATTATGGTAGCTTGAGCACATGGTTGTGAGGACTCCTCTGTGTCCAACAATTGACAACAAGTTGCCTCCCTGCTATCAGCATCATGAAGGATCAGTATGGGTGCAACATTGGATGTTATTTCACCAGGTAAATAAGTTCATTGAGAATATATTTCCAGCACTCCAACAGACATCATGACAAAAATTCCATAGAAAAAATGGTGTGTTCAAACAAGATTTCATGATGTCAGTTGGCTCGCTTGACATATTTTACACAGGAAAAAGATGGCCATGAATACAAGGCTGGAACCGTAGTAGTACATTAGCTGGCCAACTCTATACGATATTTTTGCAATTTTAAATCGCAGATTCCAGCCCAGAAGCCCAGGYAGTACTAGTAGAAGTCGTGGGAGTTCCACAATCTGGGTACTTTTGGACCCGGAATACTACTAGGTGTCCTCTAGGCTCCCTCARTCTAGGCTTCTGGGTTTTGGGAAGAATGACCCAATGATTAAAAAAAAATCTAGAAGAGGCACTATATGGCCAGAACCACAGCTTTTGTTAGAAAGAATGCTCCTAGCTGCAATGACCCAATGATATGTGTGCACATTACTGGGTATTTTTTGTAGAAAACCTTTTCCAGCCCAGCAGAAGCCCACCAGACAGTGGAAGTCGTGGGGGGGAACTTCCATGATACTAATCTGGATACTTTTGGTTCTAGAAAAGGTGTCTACTACTACTATGCTCCTCCACCAATCTTCGAAACTTCTGAGTTTTTGGGAATAAACCACCTATATCTTGTGTGCACCACATTACTGAGGAGTATTTTTTGTAGAGAAGAACCTTTTCCAGCCGTTTCTTGATTACTAGTAATAGTAGTAGTACTAGTACTATGAACTGCTACCCACACCAAAATTTTGAAAAACTCACAACTAGTAGTACTAGTAGTAGTATTACTAGTACTGCTGCTGCTGGTACTAGTAAGAATAGTAAACAACAACAAGAGCAACAAGAAGGAAGACTACTAGTACGAAGACAAGAAACAACAACAAGAAGAACCAGCAGCACCAGCAGACGAACTACTAGGTACTACTGGTACTACTACTACTACTACTAGTACTAGTAGTCGTCGTAGTAGTACCACCACCAGACCACCAAGAACCACCACCACCACCAGCACAAGATTCTTTTTCACCCCTCAACAAGAAGGAACGTCAGCCAGATAAGACCAACACTCAATTGCACTCACAGCAACACTAATGCTCTATTCAAGACATCAAGGGTGAAATAATACTAGTACTAGTACTAGTAGACAATAAGAAGAAGTTGTGGATTGATTGGTGGCAACAAAGAAGTTCTTGTTCCCATCTACTACTACTAATGACGCCATCATTATTTTTCAGTACAAATTCTACAGAGCTCTTCTGACTGCTCACAGCTCCCCAACAWTTTCAGCATGACACCTGAAAACGTGCGATAGATCGTCTAGATTAACGGGAATCACCAAATCATTACTGCATCGCCCTCCTTCGTCCAAACATCACGAGGGAGAGTRAACGACTCGTAGCTAAGTTGCACGGCGTCAGGGCGAATGGGGTCTAGATGGACGATCAAAGCGAAGAAAGAGACACGGCTTTGAGTGACGATGACGAACAGTTGGCCGATAGACAACCGGAAGGACCTCCAAGACAGGATCCCTCTGGAGAAGCTGTTGGTAACCTTCCGTTTTATAAATTCTTTTGCCTTCGAGTACAAAAATTATGGAGRAACAAACGAGAAAAAGTGGCCAGTAAGAGATGGAAAGAAAAAGACAGGTTAGAATACATTCTACCGAGGCGAATGATCAAGGACTTGAATGGGCAGACCATTTTCCCGTATCTTCGGCTACTACTCCCGGAACAAGATTCACGACGWCAATTTAATGTGAAAGAGAAAAAGATAGCAGAGGCGTATTGCAAAGTCCTAGCTTTTCGCAAGGGAACTAAAAGTTACGAGATGCTTATGGTATGTACGGAAGGCGCGTAGTWGTAGAGGAACGCTTCCCTCTTCAACYTCATTCCTCACGTCGTTTTCTATCTGAACGGCTTGACCAAGAATTTTACCGATCCTCAAGCAGTTCCTTCAAATATTGCAGGTGATTTATCTCTTGTACGTATTTTTGTCCCTTATTGTTACGCTTTTATGCATTAGTTTTGTATTGATGCAACTAAACCGACCTCTCGCCTTTCCCCTTAATTATCGAAGGTCATCGAGTATGTTCTGAAACAAAGATTACCGGTTGATCCCGATCAACCCGATCAACCCTATTTACATTCGAACGTGAAACTGAAAACAATAAATCATTATTTAGATGAGATTGCTAACCTCAGAGCATATGCTAGCAAGGATAACAGTAGAACTACAGCACACCACAATCATGAATGGAGAAGATCACCGGAGAATCAAAGAAGTTCCAGAGGGAACAACGAGGATAGCGGAGAGAAACAAACAGACGCGAACTTAAGAGCTGATTGGTTACGTAGGGTAATGAACCATGGGTTGAGTCCGCTGGAGCACAAATGGTTGGTGCGAATACTTCAAAAGAAGGTAAGAAATCCACTGTAACGTGAAGATGTTTCGGATAATCGATGAAAATTAATGCCGACAACCATTTTCATTATTTCTTGCCATTTCACACGCTACACGTAATGCAGATGGAGATCGGTCTAGGATACATTACCATCCTGAAACATTTCAGCCCCTACGCAACAGAGCTTTGGTGAGTAACTGAATTCTTCGCRTGATATTGGAGAAGAACTATAGTTATCTACGTAAACTCACGAACAACCCTCTTTTTTGTTCGCGAAATCGTAAAACTTCGCCATTTCCAAGGAATGCACACAAYAATCTGCAAAAGATTTGCACCGTTTTGGCCAATCCGAAGTATGCACGTCATCGGAAGGAAATGCAAGAATTGCGRAAGAAACATGCCCAAGGAAAAATTTGGGAGCCGCAGATGCAACCGGCGGAATTAGGAAATGCACTTTCACCAATGATTTCTATTCGTAGCTCATTCGAAGAACTTATGTCAGATACTCAAAAACAATATCAGCAGCATCTCAAGAAGTTGTATCACYCTTCCATCAAAAGCCATCAACCTCTATCATTTCAGTTCCCAGCTCTAACTGCAGAGATTAAATTAGATGGAGAACGCATGGTCATTCATATTGATAAYGGTCRAGTAACAATGAATACTAGGAATAGCAAGTGGTTTAGTGAACTCTATGCGCCTGTCYTGGGTCCCTCCTTACGGCGTTCTTTATCAAAATATCCAGATATCAATGTCATTCTGGATGGCGAGGTTGAATCATGGGATGACATCAACGGCACCTTAATTCCCTTTGGCGAGAATCGAGCTGTAGCAGGATACAGGAGAGYATATTTACACTCGCATGGAATGATCGATCCTATCGACACGGAAAAACTACACGACACAAATGATGATACTGTAATGAGACCAGCAGCAGATTTTTCCACATATGTGYCTTCGCGCAGAAAAAAGATGGTTGAACTAGGCAAAAACTTCTGGCTCAAATTCAGAGCTTTTGATATTCTTTACGTTGATGGTTCTGACAAACACCGACTRTTTCATGACTGTGGAATGGATACAGAAGAAAGCGATGATAACGGCTCTATAGTCCATCTACCTCTGATGAAACGAAAACAGYTATTATATCAAATTCTGACGGAGCAAAAAAACGAAGTTGAAATTTGTCCAACTATTGTCATTCGATGCAATGGAAATGCCGTTTTAGGAGAAGAGTATTTTACCACCAAGAATCCGATCWCTGAATTTGGTTACCCTGCTACGCTTTTAGATTCATCACAAACTCTTTTCCAGCACGAGATAAAGGATCTCGAAAATCTTGACACAATGCGAAAGCTAGGTAGAACCAACAATCAAATCAGCAAAATGAGAGCAGAGGCAATGGAAAGATTCTATGGAAAAGTTGTTGAAGACTATAAATATGAAGGCTTAGTGGTGAAAGACCTCGCTTCACCATATTTTTTTGGAACTCGGAAGTGTTGGTGGAAGTTCAAACCAGATTACGAGGCAGACGAAGCAGTTGATATCGATGTAAGTATTTTCATTTGCGAGATCCGCAATATTCCCATTTTGAATTTGGTTGATACTGATGATCCTTGTTACTGCAGGTTGTCATTATCGGTGCAAAATTTGCAACAGGTCTCAGAAATAGTGGCACTCCATCAGCATACCTTGTTGGTGTGGTTGATAAATTTGATGAAAATTGTTTCATGCCATTCAATAGTATYAATGCGGCTTCGACAACAAGAGAAAAGATGGAAGAAATATTAAATTACACTGGTTTCAAAAAAGGCGGAGACGAGCCATTGGAGTTGGGCAAATGGTTCCGAGAAGAAAGTTTTGGACTCCCAAGTTTTATTTCAAAGCGATCTTTACAACGCAACTCGACTGAAGATTTTGAAGGTTGGTCATTTAATAAAACCAAACATTATCCTGACATTTGGATAGATCCAAAAGATTCGGTTGTGCTGACAATTAAAGGGGCAGAATTGGTTGTTAGCGTAAGTACGTTGCTTGATTTTCAGTTTGTAAATTGATTTTCATTCAGTCTAAAATAGTATCACCGTTTTTGCATCATGGTCAGGACGAATTTTCTGTTGGACTTGCTCTAAGATTTCCACGAATCAAGAAGGTTCGTTTGGAGTCCGTTGATGGCGATGAGAAGAAGGCTTCAGAGACTTCTACCGATGAAGAAATATGGAGAATTTTTGACGAGGCAAGGTCAAAAAAATTAAATGCAGAGTCGATGATTGGAAGTCAATGTCAATCAGRTCGAGCGAGGAAAGTGTCACGACAGGGGCGCCGATTTCTGACCCCAGAAGAATTTCGTCACAAAACTAGAAAACGCAAAATGAAAATGGTCAGTTCACCTTCTAGAAAGGTGCCAAAAGTTGATGTTTGCGAGTCAAGTCTTCTGAAGGACTTGACGTTTTGTGTCCTTGAGGGAACATACTTTTTCGACGCTAATAGCTTGGAAGGACAAGTAGCTGAGAAAGAAGGATGGGTTTGTGAAGTAGAAAAAGTCAAATCAGAAGAGGATGTGATCGAATTCATCATGAAGCACGGTGGTAACTATAGAACAGAAGTCAAGGGGACAATCAACGAATATATTGTCGGCGGGACGAAGGATGATGCACGGGTTCAAAATATGATTAAAGGACTCAAGGATGCCAAATCTCTCGATAGTTCCAAGAAGAAGGGTGACAAAGCACTCTTCCAAATGGCTCAGCACCATGATGGGATTCTTAAATGGACATTCGTCTATTGGTTGCTTCATCGATTACAGAAAAACAACTCAAATAGGAATAGTAACTATCTGAAACCTGAGCCACATCAGTATCTTGGTAGCACAGCAGAAGTTTTGTTTTCATATAATCGTCAAATCTCGATTGACGAACTGAGGGAATCCCTTTCAGTCCCTAACAACAATGATAAACAGGTTCCTCCATGGCAGTTGAAAGGTTTGATAGACCTTCCGAAAGAGGAAAGATGGATTCTATCTTCAAGGCATACTCATTTTTGGCCATACAACGACGAAAAGCTTCATGGAGAGAGTTGTAATGATAGAAATGGCATCATAATGTATCCAGATGTTTTCTCGTATGGTTTTGGTTTCAGTGCAGAAAAAGATGCTAATGGCGAAGCATTATCTTGCACTACATCACCAAGATGGAATCACGTGTTGCCAGACTTTGAAGAGATCATGTCCGTATTGCCGTTGGTATCTGTCATGGGTGGATTCGTCACACCACATTTGCATTGTGGTGTGACACACATTATTTGTCTCTTGAAAATAGATGACGAACTCCAGTATAAAGATGAGGTATCTTTGACTCGCTTTCTTTGCAAGGAACACGGACATCGTTTATTGGAATATCTCCGTTGCAATTTTCCTCACCGGAATAACATCAAACTGATTTCGCCAAATTGGATACGCAAAAATATGGAATTAAATATTTGATTGAAAAAAATGAACAAGAGTTCTAATTTGTTCATCTTTCTTCCTTCGTAAGTTTTTAAAATACAAGCTATTGAATTTACTCTGGCCAATCGGATATATATGTATGAGTTTGTCCACCATCCCCGAAACAAATGAATTGTGCTTTTCTAGTCTTTTTGTGTAAATGAATTTACGACATGAAATCCACCCCAAGTATTGTCAGTGTTCTCTTTTGTTTTGCAGTTCTGACCATAACRGCTGTAATGGCAGAAGCCGACATGGCACGCGTGTCCACTTCGTCGATGGCAATGATTATGTCGCCAGGGAAAACTTTACCAGAGAGCTCACTTCCCTCGTTGACCTTGAATACAATTGGACCTTCTACTGTCGTATCTATTACGAGTCCAAGCTTGCCTGCAGGCGCTAGCACCTTTCTTGTGACTTTTTGGTTGCCTTCATGTCTGTCGCTTTCGTCCTCGTCATCACTGCTTCTCAAATTCGATGGTAACATTTGTAGTTCTGACGCAGTTAACTTCAAATCGCTAGGAGCTGATTCAATAAAAGTGTTTCCGAAATGATCGGGAATCGTATTTTGTTTTTGTCTTTCACTATTATTGTTGGAGTGATTTTCCCTGCCTTCGCTAGCCGCCATACTAACTTGTGGAATTTCACGAATCGGCATTTTCCCACTATGTTTGGAGATCCCACCTGCGTTATTTGCACTCAAACTACCCACGACGCTKGCTTCTATTCCGGGTTCTAGACTGTACGCATAAGATGCACTGTCATTTCCGGACGTGTTATAGGAGTTGATTAAATGAATTTTGATATGGCTTCCATTTGTATACACAGATCCTGAATCGCCATAAGATTGATTGTAAGAATACATCGCTTGCGATTCAACGTCGTCTGTGCTAGCTAGATCGGTCGATTCCACGTCATCTGATGGGTSGTTATTTTCGTTTTTTGACTGATCAAGACTTCGAATTTCTTTCGTTGATTTGACATYGTTGCCTTCTTCAACTCTTCGTTTTTTTACGAAACAAAAACAACACATTATAAATGCAATTGCAATCAGGAGGAYAGAACCTCCGACAGAGATACCGATGATAGCTTCCTGAGAAAGAGCATTGCCTTGAACTGACTCCTTTGTATCATTTTTTGTAGCTCCTACAAAAGACTTCCCATCGTTCTTTACCGGTTCGTTGTCTGGAATTGTAGCGCCAACCTCCCCATGGCTCAAGGTTGAAGGTAGGGAGCTGGAATCGTCCACAATCAACTCTTGTTCAGGTAAGTATTCGTCAATATCTTCTATATCAGATAAGAGAGTTACATTTGTAGGTTCTGGGGTTGCAAAAGAGTTGATCAAGAGAAAATAATTATCATCGTCGTAATCGTCATTATGGAGCATGTTCATGCTGTCAGAAACAGCTATCGCGTTCCGAGCAACGTTGGTAATWGATGGTACATCTTCTCCAGTCCCRGTTATAGCGTTCGTCTCTTGCTTTTCCGCACTACCATCTGAGATCTGCGAGACTGTGAAGATAGGCAAACAACAGAATAAGAGCAGAGCGACAATCAAAGACGTGATTCGGTATGATGTGATGATGTTTCTCATCTTCTACCTTCGGAATTATAAAGCAGCGTTGGTATAAAGAATGGAAGTTTSTCTATTAGCATATTAACGCTATATTAATACGGAGCTGGTGCTGCAACATGCAATTCATCCCCGTTGTGACCGGATATACCTTGACATTCTTTCAACAGTACCGGTAACGTTACGAAGAAGGCATCGCTTCGCATACCGAAAAAGCACGACCGGAGCTTCTCGTAAAATACGCTTTGCATACAAAACCTGGAAAAATGTTTGAATAGGCTGGTCGGCGTGTGCCCGTTGAAAACGGTTTTGTTTTCAAGCAAGAAAGGTGGGTTAGGAAAACGAAAAAACAATTAGAAATACCGTATGGTATGATTACGATCCAACTGTAGTAGCACGTACGTACACAACTGTTCCGTAGCAATCGGATGTCGTAGTGTAGTAGTTTTTGAGCAGCATCAATTTGTGTCAACCACCATGCGCGCGAGCACCATCCTGTTTTTATCTTCACAACCAAAATATTCTTCCTCAGTTATTATGCTTTGTTAGCACTAGTAGTCTAGTACGGTAGTAGTAGAATGCTAGAAGACAGCAGTATTGCTAGTACTACTAGTAGTAGATGATCATACAAAAAGAAGGTTGATGGATAAACGTCAATCACTGTTGGTGGGAAAAATGGGTGATGATGATAATGATAATGTCGTAGCAATCTCTAGTCGCAGGAGTAAGAATTATAGTAAGGAGAGAAGATAAAGTTTTTCTTAAACGATAGTTTTTAGGCATCCCCGCCTTGGTATCGTAATTTTTCGTCGGCTGTCGACATCATGCATCCTGGGAGCTCTAATCATATTGAATTCGCTTTGAGATGCCTTGCGATTCAGGAGACTGGTTCATCTCTTGTGTTTTCGCTCTTCTCAACAATCGCCTCGATATTGGTGAAGACAAAAATGCAGTTTTAATGCTATCAGGGCGCTGTTTTTGTGGGTTTGAAGTATCCACAGACAGTGGTTTTGGTGAAAATATGATTGGCGAGAATGCAGAAGATCTGTCTGTTGGATTGTTGTATTTGTCTCCCGCTGGTAGAGCATCATTTGTACTGATCGATAAATCTGCGCCTTCGTTGCTCATGTCACCGATACTGAGCTGGAGAAATGGATTGCTCACATCATCAATGCTACGAGCTGGAGTACTTGGATAACTCAGCACAGATTCACCCTCTTCCATAATCCGAACTGGCTCAAGATGACCAACGKATTGCTTGTTTCTCTTACCAGAAAAAAGGCCCGAGATCCGTTTCATGATTGATGTTGTTGGTAAGAYGTTTTCTCCTTGGCTTTCATAGTCACCCGAGACTACTTCTACACCCAATACTTCTTGATTCTGGCAACCACCATCTTCCTCAGTATTGAACGAAGATGTTGCCTTGAGGATGGTTTCCAAAGAAGTGCCTCCTTTTGCTCCATCTATTTGATTGTCCTGATTTGGTTTCTGCCATCTCGTTCGAGCATGTTGCCCTGGAGGTATGTCGTCGAACTCATTGGTATCGGTATCGGTATCGGTATTCAAATCTTCCTGTTTGTTTYCGACATATTCCTTAGAGTACTCGTACGTCGAAGATGAATCGCTTTGATTACGGAGTAGTCTTAGTCCCGCTAATGATTCGTCACCTAAATCTTTAAGGATATCCTTTTTTTTCGCAAAGGGTCCAGATGCAGAGGGTTGGGTTGTGAGGTGCTTTCGCGAATGGAATACATTTCTTTTTGAAACATGCCTGCTTTTTGCTTCATCTCTTTGGTTACTTACGATTGAATTAGAGCCGTCGTGAACATGCGTCATGTGATCAGTTCTTCTTCTCTTCTTGTCGTTCGATTTTRTCGATRTCTCACTGGATATTGATCCATTATCTAGCGCGAAGAATGGATGTTTCGCGGATTTTGGTGTATCTTGCTCAAATCCGTTAGGTTTATTGTTTGCACCTTGTACCATTCTAGTCATTAACATAATMGTGATAAACACAGAACATACCACAATGGCAAGGCTTGCAATKACCCAGCTATTCATGAAGTCGCTATTGTATGCCCTTAGACTCTCCACTTCTTTTTCTTGAGTAWTATGTCCTTCAACACTCAATGCTGCGAAGAATTTGTTCGATTCTATCAGCATCAAATAAAATGCGTTTCTGTTGGTTTTAAAGATCGTTTCTATCAGCCAAGGTAGATCAACGTTGTCATTACCCGTGATTGCTATGATTGTTTCGAAATATATATGCATACCATCAATATGGGAATCTAATCCAGTTGAATTTCCAAATTCTGGTCCTTGCCCCACAACTTCGACATCAATAAAATCGACTGTTCCTGTTTTGTCAATCAACAGGGAGTACTTTTTCAGAAATTGGAGGACAGTAGATGAAAATATTTGAGTGATTTCAGGACTCATGGGGCTMGCAATCCTTTTCATATATAATGAAGATATCGTCGTCCGCCATAAATCTGTAGTTGTAATAACTGATTCCACATCAACCGTAGTCGCTGGTAAAGACTGATGTAGGGTAGGCTGATGACTCGGTACACCCGTAGAAACATCTCTCAAAAATATGCTTGAAGGCTGTTTTGTATAATCAAACCGAGAATTTGCTTMACCAATAATTGATGTAGGTTCAATACTTGATACATCTGACAGTATACTTGAAATAGTAGGAGAAATTGTGGGTTCGACGCTAGGGATCCTGGTTGGAGAAAAAGAAGGCTCAAAGCTCCAGCTCGGTGAGTCAGATGATACAACCGATGGCATGGGGCTGGAATCGATGGTAGRTATACTGGTAGGGGTACCACTGGAAACATCGGAAGGTCCAAAACTTTGAGTTAGACTTGGTTGAGGAGTTGGTCCTGAGCTTGGAAGAAGTGATGGTCCATCGCTGGGGAGTGAACTTGGCGCTCTAGTTGGCACATTGCTTGGAATAAGTGAGGGGCCATCGCTTGGTAGTAAGCTAGGCCTCGAAGTCGGCTTCGAGCTTGGCGCATCGCTCGGAAATGGAGAAGGTACAGCGGTAGGAACCGAACTTGGGACACCCGTGGGGTAACTGCTCGGTTCTGAGGTCTTTGGGCAAATTTCGTTATCTATGCAAAATTGTCTGGGATCCTTCACAGTTACTGAAAAATATGTCGCGACCCGTCTTATACAAACTGAGCATTCCTGTATTCTATTTTGTGGCGAAACATTTCTCTCCGCAAACGCCGAATATGTTGTCGAGTTGGTTCCCGAAACACATTGGTGATTGAACGCTATCACAGCGAAAAAAAACAAGGCGAGTCGTTCCATTTTTAGTTTTCCACAAGTGATTTGACAAGAATAAGAGATAATRCCCGATAGCCATAAATTCTTTGGTATTTTACGAGCTGCTATAGAAGAGATGTGTTTGACAAGAAAGATACAAWAGKTGGTGTAGATTRCTTTTTGAGGGCCATTGGTACACGTACGAGTGGGTCGGAAGGTGGAACCAKATGCATTTRAARTAAACAACAAAACTGAACGTTAMAGTGGAAATGGAATCTCACCCCACGCGGATGCAACGGCAAAGTTTCGGTCGTGCATTGAAATACTGGTTGCTACCCCATCATCTTTATTATTATGCCCACGCGAGGCGGTCCGTATAAAAAAACGGTCACAAAACKCGAATTTTTTGTAACGATAATCCCGAGGAAATTATTACTTCTTGCTTCTTTGTTTAAAAAATTGAATCAATTCATWGAAAGGAACTCTTTGCTTCATCTTCAGCACACTACTGTAATTGTGCACAGCAACAAAGCAGTAGATCAGTAAAGCAAAGGAAAGCAATGCACGAAGTTTCGTTTCCGAAAAAATGACTCTAACCTTCCGTAAATCCTCTTCAGTCGCCTTGTTGGCTATAATATTTTCAGCCTTGGCCCCTTGTCGTGTCCTCGTAAGAGCTCATTGTGTACACCATGATGGTCATATTGATCATATAGCAGTGGGGTGTACTCCAACGATGTCACCTGTTCCATCAGATGGACCATCAACTCCACCAACAGATTTTCCGACCGAGTCTCCAGCTCCATCACCTAGTCCCAGTGAGATACCGTCAACATCCCCGTCAATGAGCCCAGCGCCAAGTATGAAACCAACCGGTTCCCCATCTGAAATCCCAACTTCATTTCCGAGTGATAGTCCAACAGGTCCACTTTTAATTACAGTGGTAGGAGTTGAATTGARATTGAGAAATGTAACTGGAGAAAGAGAAATGAATTTATCAGACTTAAAATATTTTGAGGAAAAAACAACGTTGTATCTTCAGAACGAAGTAGATCAAGTCCCAGGAGTGTTCAAAATCGAAGTCGAGAATACATTGGTAACAAATCAAACACTAATTCAGGTGAATGGTAATGDTACAATTATGGAGAAAGACTCAATGCTTCGAAAAAGAAGTCAGTTGGAACAAAACCAAACTGATCTAATCATTACAATGGATGTTGTGGTCTCGGCTGTTTTGAATCGATCCGAGAGTGCCAACTTSGATGTATTTTTCGAAGATTTCTTCAAACTTGAAGACAATCAAAACAAACTTCGATCAATGTTAGAACAAGAGAACACATTTGCTAAAGGGATTTTCTTCAACGGTGAAATCGTTTCCTCGGAAAGATTATCTAAGAAAGGATCGAATGGCACCGCTGTAACTGGTATAGTTCTAGCCATTGTCGCTTTGGTTRTTGGATCTGGACTACTTTGGATCTGGATTCAGACTCGTCGCATTGCAGATCGGGAATCAACTGATCCGAGAAAACTGACAAATCTKGGAACTATTTCCAAAAGCTACGACAGCGACGATGGAAATGCAACTGGTGCAGAAAAGCCAAGACGAATCAGAATCACCACAAGCGACGAATTGCGTCTTATCCAGTATCCGAAGAAGTTGAAKGAAAATGATGCACTCAGTTCAGCATCAAGTTCTCAACTGATGTATATTCCTACTATAATGCCCACTGAAAGTAACATCGAAGTGCCTGACACACCAGGAACAGCGTTTGGGATCAATGAATTTGGTACACCGTCGAATTCCAACGGATTTGCAACACCCGCAAATGCAAATGGATTTGCGACTCCAGCAAGTGCGAATGGAATTCCAACACCAGTCAGTACAAGCGGTCTTGTAACACCGGCAAGTGTTCTGTCAAGAGGTGGTAATTCCACTCACAYTGGAGCTAGTTCAAAGTTGTTGGTTCCAACGATKAAGCCAGAAACAGCACCTGCTCTCGACATATCTTCGGCCCAAATATTAAAAGATATTAGTTCTRCGACGGCAAGGAAACAAAAAATTCCTCTCCCTCCCAATATTCTTGGGTCAATCAAGTCTCCATTTCGTCGAGAAAAAAAGACTGCCAAAAGCGAGGATGATTATGATTACGATAGATCTTCTATGTTCGGAGCAGGCGTAGTGGCAGGGATGAACAATGTGAGCCCTTCAGATCGAAGGAGAAAAAGAAACGCAAAACTTGGCAACAATACCTCTCATGATATGCCACCGATAGAAATTGGTGGGCCTGGTGTCACTACTGTTGCTGTGGTTCCTYACGGAAAGAGGAAAAGTACGAGTCGTTCACTTAATTCCAGATCTCACCCGATGGTAATTGGAGGACCACCTGACAAATCAAACTCTGATGCGAGATCCACGAGGACCAAAAATAGAGATAAACACGGTGTTGTAGATATCGTAGATGAGATCGCATACTTGTATTCGACAAACGCTGACCCGCCACCGAGAAACRGTGATGCCTCGATTTGATTTTGTGTTTCTTATCCACATTTCAGACATTCATGCGGTTTCCTATAATTTTGAAATGGACTTGTCCATCTCTAAAATGTGTAGTTTCTTATTAACTCTTTGTGTTCTGACATAGCGCTTCGAACAGTCTTCCTAGGCGCCTGGTTTTCCCCGGATGCCAAACAGTGTACAGACGAATTATTCAAAATAGGTGTTTCTATCGTTTGAAAAGGGTAATCTAAGGTCTGTCGTGTAACTTTTGATGCCAAAAGCATAAAAATTAAGTATTGTCGAAGCCTTATCCGTCATTCGTCTCCTGGTTTCAATATGTCGTACAGGGGATATGAATGCGGATTATGTTGGTTCTTCGTTTTTCAAAACAGGTCTAACTGTAAGCCCCGCTTTTTGGTAACAATATTGATCCGGGAGTGAAAGGTTCGAATGAAAGTCAGGTCGGTCCGAATCCATCGAGACCGCTGTTCTGGTGTGCTAGAATTGCGGTACGATCCCGACTGAAGGTAATCGAATCGCAACGCATTCAACAAAACCCGACWCGCTTATGTATTTACTCCTTGGTGTAGTCGTCGTCACCCTGGATTGCCAACCATCCGGTCAGGGCAACCACCCCAACTCCAAACACACCGGCGTTCAAAAGGAAGAACCAGTTGCCCTCTTCGATTCCCTGGAATACCCCCTTTCCGGTGACGAGTTCCTGGAGAAAGATCCAAACAAAGGCGACCTGCGTTGTTTTCGGGAAGCGTGTTATTTGCATCCAGACAAGAATGGGCGTGTGGTTCAGTGAAAAATGTCGCCGGTGTCGAAACAGCAAAAACAAAACAAAAATACAACATAACATAACATAACATAACATAACATAACATAACAGTGTTGTTTATATGCAACACCCACCACCGTGGCGTCGTTGCCTTGCATTACACACCTGTGCGACTCGGCCGTTCCATGTTTCGGCGTTGCCCTTCATTCCCCAGGGCGATTGGCCCTCGTTGAAGTTCCATTGTCGTTCCGACAACTGGGTAGTGCTGGTGCTAGCGATGTCCCCAAACACCGGAGCCGATCTCGTGACCGCGGAGGAAGGTGGGGCGAAGGCGCCGGCGGAAAGGGCCAGTGCCGCAACGACAAGGGTGAAAAGCGTAGCGCGAGCGGAGATTGCCATTTTGGATGCTGCTATTGAGGTAGTAGGGATTGACCACTGTCTATTCTATTSTGAGCGATGAAGGCGTTCAAATACGAGAATCCTGTGCTCAGTGGAGGAGGAGGATCGTGTTTCTTGATTAAAGTCGTATACACGAACCCAAAAGATTGGTTASCTAACGTTACGTACCCTTGCCTTACGTACCGTATTTCTTTTGTCGGTCTTGCGTCATCGTTCACAAAAATACCGTACCATTTAACTTACCTCATACGRTACCAGKTATCGTATCATGGTAGGAGTAGTACGAGTACGTACGTAAGCGTCTYACGGTAACGTACGTATGTTTCACTCACAAACACAAACAATCTGACTGACAGTGAGCGTGCTGCTGTGGCCAGTTAGTTGTTAGTTCACAGTTCGTCTCACCGTACTTAGGAGTACGTACTCGTACGATACGAACGGTGTGGATGACATCAGAGGCGGGGTCATTCCAAAGAAGGGGGAAAACGTTGCAAACTTTTTATGTTATCCCCTCCCCCCCCCGGCTTCCCCCTTCATGGTCGGTCTCATGAGGAAGAATACCGTACTGTTGGCATGATGATTACGAGTAGTACGATACGACACCGCCTGCACAAAATTTCTTCGAACGCTTCTMACCATGTCCAACACACCCATAGAGGAATAACGGTGAACAAAGTTGGGATCAGAACAAAGCCAAAGACAATTCATTTCAGAACGAGCAGAAGTATACAGGTGTACACACAGGAAATACTACTTCAGAACGACAAGACAAGGCGATTCGAATCAAGCCAATAACGATGTCCCTAAATTTGGCAGCTGCGAAACGCCTTCGAAAGGAGCTCCAAAACTTGAAGAGGACGAAGGARCCAGATCCCGACATTTATCTGATCCCCGACGGTAAGAACKCTTTKGTTCTRTGAGATTCCAGTTTGTCGAATCTCGGATTGATATCCTGTACTTCATCTTCCTCTGGGGTGCGAAAGCAACGAAATGGCCTGTTTCTTCTATTTAAATCACAATTCTTTGACGCCAATGCCATTTATTTCTAAACGGTCTCATTTCACGGTCTCAATGAATACAACAGGAAACAATATTCTTCAGTGGACGGCGCTCCTTCGTGGTCCCAGCGATACCCCCTACTCYGGAGGTGTCTTCCAGCTCGCGATCGATTGCGGAGCCGATTATCCCCTTGCCCCTCCTTCCATAACGTTTGTCACGAGGGTGTTTCACCCCAATGTTCACTTTCGCACCGGAGACGTTTGTCTCGATATATTGAAGAAGGAGTGGAGTCCGGCGTGGGGCGTCCAAGCGGCTTGTCGCGCCATTCTCGCACTGCTGTCGGACCCCGATGCCGACAGTCCGTTGAACTGTGACGCCGGAAATATGATCCGCGGGGGTGACATGCTAGCCTACAACACAACAGCTCGCATGTTCACGGTAGAGAATGCCATGTTTCTAGCTTGGCCGAGCACAGCGACAACAACGGACAAGGAAGGCTAGTCGCGCTGCGAAAACCGATAAGCAGTCAACGAGCAAATATTCGCGAATGTTTGGTTTGTTCGTTCGGAACTATTGGCTTTTGTTCGGAGAGTAATTGGTAGGCAACTTTGTGAGTGTTGAACAAACCAAAGACTTTGGAATCACGCCATCGGTTTCATTTGCGGTTGAGGTGTAAGACGAACTCCGTAGATCGCACGTACCTTCGTTTGTTGGTGAAAGACCCAAACGTACGAGTATACGGAATTTTTACCTGCACTAAACGGCCAAAGAACAAAGTCTGCTCTGGGGATAACTGGTAGACTCATTGGTAGATTGACWTTTGCAAAATACGCAACATATAATTGGTAGAATTTGTGTCGTGAAAAAAGAGAACTGCTAGTTCATMAAATATTTCATATGCAGCGTGTGAATTGTGAAGGGTGTAAATAACTTATAAATTACAGTAGTTAGCTTAATAGCAATATGAGCTGTCTACGCTAAGCGAAGATGTATTTATAGTTTCGATTGTCTCAAAAGACATGCTTCTCGAGATTCTTGTGCCACAAGAAGGATTCGGTAATATACAGAGTGGCATGTTATCGATGTAGATACCATTTGTCATCGATGGCGGTGTAATCATAGGTGCCACTGTCTCAACGGACAGTGGTATTTGTTGTTCCTCCTGTTCGAAGAACCGGCATTGCTGTTGTTCCTGTTGCTGCTCTGCCAAGTAAGCCATTCTCCTTGACAAGCTACACTGAAGTTGCACGGCTATTTGGGACATAGTCCCCCGATTGGACGGGAATGGACTCCACGCCTTTTCCAAGATCAGTTTCATATCGTCCGAAATCGGATGGAGTGTTTTGCTTGTGTCGGGTCGGACGCCTCTCTTGCAAACCAAATCTTCGTGAAGGTCTCGTGTCCACCCATCRAAGGGTTTTTCCAGAGTCAATAGTTCGTAGGATACAATTGCCCATGAGTAAATGTCAGAAGATGTGTTGTACGGTTGGTTCATTGCCACCTCGGGCGCCATATAACGCAGCGTTCCTACTTTTCCGGACATTGAAAAAGGAGTAGAGGTATCGAGCGATGGCAATTCGCGGCTAAGACCGAAATCGAAGATCTGCACAGCGTTTGTTTCCGCAGAAAAACCAATGTTTTGTGGCTTGAGGTCGCGAAAGATAACACCCTGTGCGTGTATGTAGTCCAGGGCCTCTGCGATTTCGGTCATGATCCGTATCTTTTCCGCGTAGAGTGTCTGGGATCTTGTATCACATGAGTCTTGAAGGGCGCTCCGCCGGGGGTAGTCGCTGTGGTTGAAGAGATGGTGGTGGTAGAATGATTGATCTGGTGTTACATTGTCGTCGAGAATGAGATTTGGTATCATTGCAGTTGAATTTGAATCGCTTTTCAGTACATGTATCTCCTCCTCGCGCCATCTTCTTATTCGCTCGTCTAGCGTTTCRTCCAGTAAATCTAGCATCAGGAAGAATGAGTTATGTTTTCCAGATTCGAAGGAGGCTATGCCATTTGCGGTCCATCCTCGAATCTTGAGTATGTTTGGATGATCGAATGAAGAAAGAATGTGGGCCTCGAGTGCGAGCTCGGCTGCAGCTAGCTGGAAGTCTTGCGGCCTTTCCATGAGCTTTTGTTGGAGGTGTTTGCATGCGTATCTTCTGCCATCTCTTGTGGTCACTGCGGATACCTGGGAAAAGGCCCCAGATCCAAGAATATGATCAACAGTAAGGATATCATCTGGCTGAATTAGTCGAATGTCGTTTTCAAACCTCCTTCTGAGTCTCGACTCGCCTAACATTTGTTGTACTTGTCCATGTACCTTGTCCGAAATATGCTTCGCAACCCGGTAGGGCCATCTATACTCAGAGTTTCTGTCCATATGTCTTATTCTATTAGGTTTTGGACCCAAGTCCATGTACTGCGACTGCGATTGAGCAAACATTGTCAGTTTTCCTTGTTCACCGTTTGGTTTACTTTTATGAAGTAATTGTAATATTTGTCGACACGGGTTGACTCTTCTCGGTGGKTTATCGTGTATCAGTTTTCGTAGACGAGAAATGATACCGCACAAACCTGATTTTTGAGACCAGGTATAAGTAATCGTGGCCGACGGACAGAGAATGTCAATTTTACTCATGTTTCATTGAAGTCCTTTTAAGTGAAGCAACCTTCGTTCTTCTAACTTCTTTCACAGCTGAGACCATGATTTCTGTACCAATGCGCGAACATTGAAAACCGTAAAGTACATAACATAACCCTGGAGGATAAGACAAGATCTACGATTCGATATTTACTTATTAGGACCTYATAAACTTTTTAATTATTGTTCACGGTCGTCAAGAAGCGATCAGAATTTGCATTAATTATGGAATCCCGATTCGGAAAGGATTTTGAAAACTCTSTTCGGTTCGTTTCAAACGTATTGTTCCTGGGAAAGTCCGTTTCGAGTTTATTAAATGATATCGCTTCAAACGAGCCCTTACTTATCTACAAACTGGGATTAATCTTCGAGTGATGTCTTTCACTGAATCAGAAATGAAAATTATTTTTGTATTCTACCGTATCAATCATATGTAAGGATATTCTCAATTTTATTTAATGTTTCGAAAAGTAACCTAGTCAAGATAAAATATTAGTCACGTGATGATGGAGGAGATCGCTCCCCCGCGCTTCAAAATGAGTTCCTTAAAAGAGCATAGATGAAATTGATCCTGTTTGTTCGTAGTAAGTGTAACGAATACAAAGTACTTCTACTTSGTAAGAAGTAAGTAATTCTACGACTTAATCTTCGAAGGACAGACGTAAAATTATTCCAATTGGTAAGGTTTAACAAGAATCAATGTACTTACCGAACCCATTCATTCTTGCCCCGGTGACGAAATAATCCTTAAGACGAGAAGAATATATCTCATGCGGAGGTTTTTGTCACTTCCAATAGTTTCATCCTTCACTTATGTCCCTACCGTACGGTATTGTATCAACTCTTCCTCAACTTCGCACTTCACTGAATTAATAATCATGTCATGACGAATGTAATARGAAGAAAAGAGAATTTTATGTACCGGTATTGTACCCGTAGTTTTCTACAGCACTCTAGTTCATTGCGCGTACCCTAAGTAGAGTCAGTTAGGTAAAACCGTGGCGAACAGGTACTACCGTCCCGTACGGTTCGTAGATTACGCCAGACAATAACTTTTTTTTATCGAACTCACCTTTCACCCTACGGTACCGTACAATGCTGACTAATGATGAAACATTCTTCTACGTTCCAATGATTGCAACACATATTGAATCACATGCATGATTTAAAAAATATGCAATTCTGATTGGTTATTCGACTTTCTTAGGCAAAGGCTGATTGGGCATTCGAACTAGTTGTAATAATTACTGTAGCTCATACAGGCATTCCTATGATATTGGTACGAACTGGTTTGTCATGTAGAGACACTACTTGGGTACATGGTACAGTACTTTTCAAGTACGATACGAACCGGGCAGGTACGGTACTTAAAAATGGTTTCAGAAAAGAAAATGTTGTTCCTTATGTACCGAATCAGTTGCCCTTTGCCAACAGATGACTAGAGAAAGGCAATAGAGAAAAACAGCAAACCATGGAAATTTAGCAGATTCCTTGGTTCAAAAAGTTAACATCTGCTACTACAGGTACATTTTCTGTTCCGTTGAAGAGGGAGCGAGGTCGTCGGGATTCATAAGTGTATCTGCAGTGATTTAAGTTTTTTAATAAAAAATACTGACCAGTAGAAATATAAATTGAACTCTTCTCACCCATCAAAACCGTGTTTGACGTGTAAGACTTCGTTGTTACACCACACTTATTGCGATCATCAACATAGTACTACCGTACACTTATTGCGATCGTCAAGGTAGTAGGCGTACTGTACGTGATAATTTCTTCGGAGATCAATGACATCGTGTGGCTTTCTATGTAAGTACRGTAGAAGTAATAAATAATGCAATTACAAAAATAAATACAGAGTACMAAATACGTAGAATCCTACACCCGCGCAAATATCGCCAACTGGAACTATGAGGGGAAGTAACAATGAACTGCTGGGCCCTCCGGAACCAACGCGCGCGCGTCCCCCCTTTGAAATCTAATATCGGGGGTATGATTTCGTGGGTTTTTTTTTACAAAAAATAACCCCGTTTCTAAAACGTGGGTATTTTTTCCCAAAAAATAACCCATGTTTTAAAACGTGGGTTCCTGGGTTCCTGAGTTAACCCACAAATAACCAATGAAATAACCCATGAATAACCCACGAAAAACCCACAAACCTGCTGGGCCTTTCTCCAAATATTAAAAACAGTGATTAAATGACATTAATGACTAAAATACTTGTTAACACCCTTGGTTCTCCATCAACCCAGATGACTGTAAATTTGTGGGTTCTTTCGTGGGTTATTTGTGGGTTCCTGGGTTCTTTCGTGGGTTATTTTTCAAATTAAAAAACCCACGTTTTAGAAACGTGGGTTATTTTTCACCAAAAATAACCCACGTTTTTCTAGGGGAGGAATTCGAAAAGGGGGATGTGCGCGTGGGTACCAGAGGGCCCTGGAGAAAAATGGCATGAAAATCGTACCCGTGCAGTCGTGAGATCGCTAACTAATGGAAAATTAAGGTGCAGAAAAAACCTGTTTTTTTCGTAGTCAGTACGAAGTACTAAGTAAGTGTATGGGTTTGTGTCCGAAATAGTGCGTGGCAGGTCTATCTGGTAGGAAATCTAAAGGGCTCTACGGTAAGCCTAGTAATAGCAGTATTTTACACGAGAACGAAAAGCTGTCACTTAGGTCCAGGTAAAACCAAATTAACACTAATTCAATGAGTTGCTGATATGGAGGATGCAAGTTGCTGATACAAGTCACTGATACAAGTTGCTGACATAGATGAGGCTGATACAGAGGACAATGATAGTATGGAGGACACTGATACTACTACTACAAGCGAGTTGCTGCTGAGGATAGTAGGCAGGAACTGCTGGTGATACACCAGCAGCAGAGGACGACACTCGCTGATAAGGAAGAACCAGCACTGATATAGGGGACACCAAGAACCACTGATGATACGGAGGATGCCCTAATACGGAAGTTGATACAGAGGAGGAAGCTGATATGAATCACTGTAAACTGTGCATTGCTGCTTAGTGCTGCTGCTATTTCTTCAAAGACACTCCTACTAAGAAGCCAATTGATCTGCAACTTCTTCCAGATCCTCTTCCTCTTATAGTAATGAATAGACACTGTGTGTAGTGTGTTAAAGTTGGTTTGTAGTACRGTTGAAGTACTAAAGGAGTGACAGGTCCCYAAGGTTGTGTTRATGAGTTTTTGCAGAATTTCTTGGTGCACAGAGAAATCAACAAGCCCAAAAAGGTTCTTCTCTCCTCTGGCAACAAGCAAGTAACCCACCATACACCAATATGCACATGAATCACCAAAAGACAAGCAAGAGAAAACCATTTCTGACTACTACTACTATCAGATTCTCTAATTCTGATTGGTGCTCTGTTAGCATTAACAAGCAAGCACAGCTTGCTGCTGGTTAATAAAAATCAATTTGTTTTAATTCTACTCATACTACTAACCTCCTGTTAAAATTAGAGAGCACTATTTAGGACACAAACCTGCATTGCTTACTGCTTAAACCTCTAGAAATAGACACCTTGATTGGAACTGATTACTACAAGTAATGATTCCTACTACAAGCAGCACAGGCCCAATAGTACTGGTACCTGAGGTGTTACTAACAGTGTTCATAGTAGGAATTCTGTTTTCTATTTCTTAAGCAACAGCTATCCAACATCCATTGCTCTTTTAGTTGTTAGAAAAGTAGCAACAAATAATAACATGTGAAATCAGAACAACTAACACAAAAAACATGCATGCCAACAAATAAGAACACAAATTGCTCCTGGCTGGTGCAAAGAATTGCTGCAACACAACACTGCTGCAGCAGCCCAACATATCAATTGATTGACAGCAATAGCTTGTTCTTGTTAACTAGTACTGGAGCTCCTAACTACTGGGTCAATTGATTGATTGATCATAATGCTGGCACCGATACTAGTACTATTCTTAGTACTAGTACTAGTACTAGTACTACTAGTTCTAGCACTAGCATTGGTGAGTCAATTGCACCAGCAGCAATCACTGCAAGAACAATTTCTAATGCTACTAGCTCCTCAACAATCTAGCATGTTCTTCCCCATTCCTTTGCTAGTACTTCCTCATTTAGCTGTGTCATTAATGGATATCCATAGTATAGTACCCTATGGATCTTTTCAACTGCACAAAGCTGAGTCTTTCCTCTTTCAGTCAGCCTCTCCAGCATACACCACTTTTTCCAAAGGATGGTGATAAGTTKCTTCTTGCAGCAGTACTTGTCCTCCCTKCATTTGCCTTGTTTTGCTGYAGTGAAATCCCTTTCTGGAATCCTTCTACTGATCCCATTGCACCACCATTCATCCMAAAGGGAGCTGGAATGGWCTTCAGATTAGGTGCAAGTGTTTCAGGAGGACCAAGTTGACTTGTACCAATAATAATAGGAGTATCCTCAGCTGCAGTAGCCTGTCCTTGTCCTCATCCTCTCCTGCTGGTAGTATCATCACTACTACCAAGGCCAGAAACACTACCACCAACCACAGTCCTTGTAGGGGCAGAAGCCAGTGCTCTTATTGTTGTAGCTTGTTGCAGTGACCTTAGCTGGCATTTCACATCAGCTAGTAGTAGTAGTAGTAGCTCAGAAACTTGGTGATTATGAAGTTGTCCAAGCTCCTGCTGGTTAGAAGCAATGCTTCTAACCAGCAGGAGCAAGAGATGCAGTACAGATGTTTGCATGAATCATTTTCTCATATACTCAGAGCAATACCATAGCAAAGTAGTGGATGCACCAGATCACATGGATGTTTCAGGAGGAGCCTGTGGGAATAAATGATCATGAGAGGGACATGYCTGTGGTTTCAGGGAAAATAGGTTGCAGACTTTCTTACTGCTTGTTTTTGAGAAAGGGTGTGTCTGTGGAAATAGGAGGTGAGAAAGAATTCCACTAAATAACTCCATGTGAGCTGGAATGAAGATCAGGGTCATTGATCCATTGAAGTGAATCATGGTGGCAAGAAAACATGTGGTGCCAGCGAATTTCACTCTGAAAATAAATAACAGGGYACTTGAGAGATGGAGGATAATCCTTGTCTGGTGAAACAGTGCCAGCAGTATCCAGTCATTTGCTAAGGTAACTTTGAAAAAGAGTATCAGTTGCAATCAATCAGAATCTGAGTGMAGATATCCATTGTTGCAAAGAGTGGATTGTCTGTCAATGCCATTTGAGTCAAGTCAGATGAAAAATTTGGAAGAGATGCTGGGATTCCTCTTCAGGTTGTGTGCAGCAGAGACAACAGATGTCATGAGTTGGATATTTCCATTATTTAAGGACTGTACTACTAGCAGTGGGCTAGATTTGATTGCAGCATTTAGGAGTGACAACAAGAACATACCTGGAGATGTGATTGGTGGCAATCCAAGGGACTTCCAAGAAGTGATGATATCAGCAATTGTATGAGAAGTCCATTGGTTCCTTTCTTCTTGCAAGTATGATGCATCACAATGATAACATGGAACAAGGAGACAAGAACTGGTGGTGAGAGCTTTCTTGTATTGGCTAGTAACAGACATTTGGCTTTCTTTTTTCTGATGGCTTTTATTTTTGATTTTCCTTTTTTCTGACTGCTTCACCACCTGTRCTCTTGTCCACTGTAGGAGAGTTTGTCTTAACTGGCTTGCCACCAGTGTGCTTGGAAGCAATGATGACATTGCTCTCATCCATACAAACTTTAAACCAACAATATCTATATCTCCTTGAGACCAGAAGAAGCCCCCTGTCTTAATTGCTGGCTTGTCAGCATGAGCATTCTTCTCCCTAGCTACTACTTCTTGTAGTAGTCAGGAGACATGATGGTTTCTGGACAACATATTGCCTCTTCTAGCTCGTCACAAAGTTGAATATTATGTAGAGTTGGCTCCAAAATCTACAATACARTTGTAGTTTTGGGGCCCTTATTTTTGCATGTAATGACAAGTTTTGACTTAAAAGATTTAACTTTGAGTTTTTTAAATTGGCCACTAGTCCTCATGCAACCACCAAATAGTTTCCAGCACATGTGCTTAATATTGGCTGATAATTATTCTTTCCATTTGGTCAGTGATTTGTTCCAATACGGACATGATAATACTACTATGTAACAAGTCCTCCTCTCCTACTAGATTCTTGGTGGACCAATCCAGACTCATAACAGGATAATATTGGACTGGCAAAAACTGTCAACCCTGGCTGTCTMTGCTGCTGTACACCAGCAACAGGAGCAAGAACAAGGGACAACCCATCAGTACTATTGTTGTGCTTGGAGTCATAGTTGTAACACTACTACAACTGTCACCACCACCACAACTAATATAGGACTAGCGCTACTAATAGTTCTATGATTTACTATGTCAATTTGTTAGATAGCATAAATAATGGAATCAAAATTTTTGAATTCCTCAACTGATCATTTAGTAAGAACAACCACTAACAATGACAAATTGATGATGAATAAGAAAGTTGAAATTCCTTTTCTTACTACCTCTGTCCCACAATAATAGTACACTTTGCAGTACTCTAATTTTCCTAAATAATTGTCCAGTATTTACTTTACAGTTTTTGGCCGTTGGATTCCACAAATGACTACAAATGACTGTGTACAACATGTAGAATCACCAGTACTGAAACTTGATCTGTGCATGTGTGTGATTAAAATTATTTCTTTATTTTTTCACATGAAAATACACTGGTGTACTACTATTAACACRAGGAACTAAAGTTTGCATTGACAATGGTAATGGGCACCTCTTTTGAACAAGAATGACCAATACAAGAAAGTTCTCCATACTGAAGAGAATTACAGCCTCAAAAATGGTGTGTCACTCTCAGCTATCATGTGCAAGTAGTGGCRTATCAAAATGACCAGTGGAACCTACCAACTGACTGGCCCTCTTTAAGTAAATACCACAAGTACATCAGACACTTTCAATTAATGCAATCTCTATCGTACTTGTATACTACATTTATAATAGATCAGTTAAACAAAAAAAGAAGCATTGAAATCGGCCATATATTGAGCTGAATCCAACCAGAGACAAGGTKCAAAGTGTACTATTATTGTGGGACAGAGGTAGTAATTGATATCACTGGTGCTGTCACCCCACCATATTTCTGAAAACTAAGTWGTTGCAACCACTTTATTTTGTACATGATGGGATGAACGCAATTCTTTGACTTGGTGATGATTATTGTGATTGAAAAAACTGACTAAATTGACATGTACACAACACGACTATTGTTTTTCCTAAGAGCAAAGATGAGCAGAATGGTGAAATTATTGGTCTGAACATTTCAACTGCCAATCAGACCTATTTTGGAAGYTTTAGATTTAGGATTCTTCAGCACCTCTATCGTCSAGATGACTAGCATCAATAAGTTGACTATTGAGTAAGAGGTAGTTAACAAAATATTTCACAAATTGAGGCTCCCTTCTGCAGCACCAGAGACAGGTAGTACSTATAATATTAAATTTGCATAGCAGCTGGTGCATCCATCAAATTATGTTAAAGTATTGGGAGTATTTAAGTTGCCTTAGATGGCAACAACAAAAACAAAAACAACAACAACAACAACAACAACAAAAAGTCCCGCAGTGCCGATGGATATTCAACAGATTCCTACACGACCCCGGAAGGATCATATTGTAGCATTCATGACAATTACCGTGCGATAGAACAATGGTCGTGCAAGACAGATATTCTAGAATGGAGATCGTACTCATAGTCCCTTTCACAGTAACAACCATTGTCGTCCTTTTCATATTGCTCATACTTCCATTGYAAASTGTGATTGTTTCTGATTCCTTAGCCCTTTTCTCGTGTCGTCTCGCAAACTCCTTTCATTCTTCACGATATACTCAACGATAGCTGGATCATCATCGAGAATAATGGAATCCGTATTTGCATCAGGAAATCGAACCKGTCTCGCAGTAAGTCGTCCAGGTAGAGCTGCCTCAAAGTTATCGTTTAGCTCATCAGACGGGGCATCGCTGGCATCGTCTCTGATATGAGTGGTTCTCTCAGGTTCTATGTCATTCGCGAGCACCAGACCGTTACCATTTTCGATGTCTTCTGAATCGCAGTCAGTTTTACCAGCCGACGAGAAGCCTGACATGACTGACGATAATTCTCCCTCATTTGTATCATCGTCATCTAAAAAGGTAGCATTGATGGACGACGATTCTTCGTTTTCATGCTCGATATCTCCTAAAATACCCTTTGAATCATAGTGTTGATTGTTCCGTCGGCTTTTCATTTGCAAACCTATTTCAACTGTACCATGCATCGGGTTCGCAGAATTATCTGTACGGGTAGGCATGTTCATTACTTTATGTATACCGGCAAACATCGGATTGGGAGTTTCAGATTCAGAGGATGCAAGTGACATAGTCTCGTCGAGATCTTCCATTGTATTGTTATCGTCATGGTGCCTCACTTGGTGGTTAGGATCATCGGGAAGACTTGTCAGCGAATAACCCATCATAGAGTCATCATCGTTCGAAGTTTCGTTTGAGATATCGACTTTTCCTGCATACGGATTCGACTCGTAGGTAGCTTGTAATGTTTCCTTAGTTTCATTTGCGGATGATGACTTTTGAAAGAACGACTTCAGGAACGACGATTTTTTTGGTGGATGTCCATCTTCTATACCCTGTCGCCTGTTTGAGTTGCGGGCTACMGGGACCGTCAAATCGACATCGCCTCCCTCTTCTCCTAAACTTTGGTTCTCCTCCGTTGTATTCTCCCTATTGCTATAGTCGAAACTATTCTTATTGCTTGCAAATGTATTTGTATTGACTGAATCAGTCTCAGTTTTCTCATTCCTTTGTTCTTCGCAATCCTTCGTTTTGGTATTTGTTGCATGGCATGATMCGTCCTGTACCGATTTGGTGGTCCCATTCTGTTGTTTTCCAATGCGCAAGATCTCAGAGAAGAAAAAGGTGTTTGACCTTCCAGTGTTCCTTCGTCTTGGGTCTTCGGCACAAACAGCTGACTTGTCGTTAATTGTGGAATGCTCGTTCGATCCAATAATTTCCATGGCATGGTCATCAGCTTCACCCGAAAAGCATTTCCTTTCTTTCGATGAGATCTGTCGTCTTTTGAATCGCCTTACGCAAAAGAGTATCGCCAAACCAGTGAGGACCATGGCGGCGCCTATTATGCCTGCCGCAACTTTCCAGGTGGACGAGCTGATCCCATTATTGCTGACGGATTGGTCAAGCTTATTGATTTCATCAGCCCAAGGATTGCTAGCTTTCTTGTCCGCACTTCCTTCTTCTACACCAATTTGGTCGTCTCCAGTATTTGCGGTGTTCGYMATAGACGATGATTCRAGGAGGATTATCGAGTTAATCGACTGCCATGTTTCCTTGAAGTCTAAGGACTTCGCAGGAAAATCCGCCACTTGAACTTCGATCAAGACAACTGGATTTTGTTCCGAAGGAAGAWTATCAGTCGCGCTTTGACTTTCGTYTTCATTTGYAGCAAGATCGGCATTTACATCGGTTTGTTGTCCCAAAGTAAATCGCTTTAGAAAGTACCCTTGGAGCTCGTCGACATCTTCCAGGGCTTCAATTTGGTTATCTTGTAGTGCCAGTTGTATTCTCTCATTACTGATGGGATCCGCTTCATATTTTACTACAGTGCTAGCTTGATACTGCAACAGTGTAGAAGAGGTTGAGGCAGACCCGTTAATTTGCAACAAACGGTTGCGATTGTCGTTCTCTCCCGTGCTGTTGTCACCGTTATCGTACCCATTGACACTATCCGATTGGAAATAGCTCTCCACCGTTTGAATAAGTTCCAAATTGACCCGTAAAGCATCTCGGAAAAGGTCAAGTTGCTGTTGCATTTCTTCAGCCGAGTTCAAGAGGTAATCCTGAAGGTTTCGTCGAATAACCAATTCGTCTTCCAATGATATCGACCCATGGACCAAAAGAGAAAAGGGAAGGAGTTCGACTTCAACTGGCTCTATTGTAGTAGTGGAATTCATGATCGGTTGGGAATTATTGGTTGCAGGAGCACTGGGTGRCTGAGAAGGGAATTCCAACGACGGCAATTGGACCTGGCTCGGCTGTATCGTGGGATATTGGGTTGTTTCTTTATTCTTGTCCTTGTCCTTGTCCTCGTCTCTGTCCTTGTCCTTGTCCTTGTCCTTGTCCTTGTCCTTGCTCTCGTCTTCTTCAGCTAGTATGATGTTTTCCTTTTTGCGATTCTTCCTTTCAGCTCCTATTTTTTCTCTATTGTAATTCGTATACGTGATCTGGTTGTCTAGAACTCGTCTCGGGCTGCTCCGAAAATTGCCAGGATTGGCCGCACTGACGTTGGGATTGCCGAATACGCATGAGAGCAGCACGCAAATCATAACCCATGAAGTTCTAATGCCCATCCTACAGACAGGATGCGCCACCGTTTTGATCATTGCTTTATTCTTCCGCTGATTGCAGGTATGGAATGGTATGGCGTTGTAATTCATATCTATCGGCAATTCATGATCCTACCGTTGCAATTGTAATCGCGAATGATGTATGTGTCCAATTACGAACTCCKGTACGATACGATTAGGGGCCGAAGCGAAACGGTCGAGGATTCAGTTTTGGCGCGCTTGCAAATTTGGTCGACAGGGTTATTATCTATGGTACAGTACCGTACGTACAGATTTCGGACTGCACAATACCGGTACACTAAACCAAAAAATACATGCCTCGTACTACAAGGTTTATTAGTTGTTCCGTAGGGTTACGACGGTACCTGGTACCCTACGGATCAAAAGCAGAAAAAGTTGAGAAAACCCCTCAATCAACTYACCGTACGTACGGTATGATACGGTACGGTACCGTCCTTTTAGGGTCCTCCTTGCCTTGGTACGGTACGTCTACTCCCTTCTGGTACGTATCATCGTGGTTAGGTGTCACGCCACGAGCGGGCAGGCAGAATAACAAGACTGAATTACTCAACGGTTCGTGATTCGCCTGAATTTTTATTTTTTCGATTAAACTCCTCATACCTCATACGTCATACTCTACATTCTACATACAGTACGGTGTGTAACGTACTTACGTACATACATTAGTATTGTGAAGGAAAAGGGTGCCTTTCTCGTCGATGAGATGATTTTTGAATTTTTGTGAAAGAACGGAAGCACGTWCTGTACCACCGTTAATACCATTATTACATATGATGCTTCCATACTTCCATATGTGTCTGTATCTGCTAGACATCACTTTGAATGAGGATTWCTGTTTCTATTTTTTACCTGCTTTTTTGTTGGTTCCTCTGAGGCACTTTTTACTGTGTTGGTGGGGAAAGTCGTCTTTCCGTCCTCAGCTGGTGACAGGCTTCTTTGCTACTTCTCAGCAGTCGTGGAACTGGTGCTGCTTACTAGTAACAACAACAAGTTCTTTCTTAGTAATTGCTTCAATCCTGCATTGTCCAAGCAGCTTAATACCTGCTTTTAGTCCAAATATAATAGCAATATCTCTTGTATTTGTTCATACTAGAACTGATCCTTGTCATGGTTGAACTCCAGCATTGCATGGAGCATGAGGGCCTATTTGCCTGGCGCTGGTGGTCCTTCCTCAGGCTCGCTGGTTAGTATGTTGTTTAGGTATCCCACAGTTTTGAGGTGATCATATGATAGTTGGTGGTTTCCCTAGAGACTGTATGGCTGGGCCTCTGAATCCTTGCTCTCGCTATCACTGTCAGCAAACTCTTCACTGTTCTGGATGGTGTCTCCCTCGACCGCGGCAAGGCCTTCTTTATTGGTGAACACTATTTCTTCTTCTGTGCTCTCCCATTCCATTGTACCCATGCAGTCGTTTGACCCTTGCAAGGATAGCTGTTCTTCCAGGTTTTCAGCTGTCATCCCCTGTAGGTTTACTTCTGTTGGGTCAGGTACATTCCTGTTATCTTCTGTTGGGGAACCAGGCGCCTCGGTGGCACACCAGTTGTTGGTGGTTACTGAGTCTTGGGGTGTTCCATCCAGTGACTCACCATCAGTGCCACCAGCGCCTTCTCCRGCCAGTTAAGTGGYCTCCTCATCAGGTGTTGTTGCATTGGTTCCAGTTCCAGCCTCCAAGGCTGTTTCCTCTGTGTCTCCAATCACCTGACCAGTCCGGTTTCTGAACTCAATAYCCTCAGGGCTGCTTTTAGCCATCTGATGTAATTGGTCTATTGCTTCACTGGGCATTGGCATTCATGTCCAGAGGTTACGGTGGATGACTCATCCTGTTTGCAGACTGTACTAGAAATAATGTCCTCTCTTTGAGCTGCTGGTCAGCCACATGTGGGCACTCCTATTGTACACGTGTGTGCTGTATTGTTGTCAGTTGGTTCAGTTGAGTGTGTTTGGCAACACCCATTGTGAGGCCCACAATCATCTCTCTTGGACWAATAGAGCTGAATATTCCAGTAGTACACTTAGTAGGTAGTGTGTTCCACCAAAACATCTGACAGTAGACCAGCTCTGTTGTGACTCTTGCAGGGAGCTTCTTGTATGGCAGGTCCATTGAATTTCCCTTACCTGTTCTTTCTTYTTAATGRTGCAAATGTAAGGCCCAACCTCTGGAACATSCTYRTCCCTGGACATGAAGTTTGGCATCAYCCCAGTTCTGACTAGTTGGACCCCAATCAGTACACACTGGTTATCCATGTTGACAGTTGTTACAGTGAACCCCTGTTTTGGGTATAAGTTGCAGGTGTTATCCATGCACTTGATGATTGTAGTTGCCTTTGAGTTGGCAATCATTTCAACTGTCCCAAACTGTATGTGCCTGGAGACAGTGATGAAGAAGTGCATGYCGTTAACATACATAATGTCCGCACCCAAAATAAACTATTGAATCTTGTACCAACACTCACTCTGGTAGTGGTTTAATGCTCACACGTGCATGATCCTCTTTGTTCCTAACTGTCTCACCTTTCAGACACACAAGGCTTGGGCCACCAAAGATCTGTTCAGCTAASCTCAAGTCAGCCCAAGTGACAGTGGCGTTCTTCAAATGGTTGTTATCAAACAGCCACAGCAGTTCCTTGGTGGGTACGTTGAGGATGTCCTGTAGCCTTCGTGCCCTTTTGGCTTGTCTTGTGTCAAGGTTCAAAAATTGCTTCCTGTTGCTCTCCACTGTTTGTATCCCATGGTTGCTAAGAACTACTGCTCTATCACGCATGTTGCTGTAATARTAAAGTCCACAGCAAGATTGTTTGAACTTGCAACACCATGTTTGGTGCACACTCACTGTACAGTTGAAACGTGTTATCAGCTGTGCTATTGTAAGTCAATTGGTTGGTCTTCCTGACCTTCAAAAGGGATAGGATATTAGCTATTCCATTCTTTTAAGCCACACCRGCATTACAAAATATGTTCATGTATTGAATGACTTGCTTGATGTTGTGGAGCAGGCTTGGATTGCAMTTGATATGCACTGTCAATTGGTTATCTAGTAGTAGGACCCACCAATCCTTGTTGATTTGCCATCTTGCCTGGCTGAGGATTACATTGTAATTGACCGAGGGCTTGTTCATTGTTCCCCCACTCCTGTAAGCGGCACTGACTGTACAGAACATGAGTTTGTACGGGTTGCCATTCCAATCTGCTCATCTGGGGCTATGGTCTCCTTGGTAGTAGTGTTGGTGGTGTTGCTGGTCCTCGGTTCTCCTCGGCTCGTTTGTATTGCTCCACATTGACTGGGTTACAGATGTCTTTGTAGGCATAATGACCAGTCTTCCCGCATTGGTAGCAGGTTATGTTACTCTTGTCCTTTGTACAGCGTGTATTGACATCTTGTGCAAACGCCACGCCGTTGTTAGAAACGGTTGTCTTATTCCGACTGTGAATTCCCCCTTTCTGCACATGCTTATAGTTGATGAGGAGCTTGTGAGCTTCAGTGAGATTGTTTGGGTATTTGTTGTRCCCCACGAGGAAGTCATTCTCCAGGTTAACCTTGATGTCAGCATACCTTCCATGGTTTGCATTTTTTATGTAAATGGTTACCACCACAACAACTACTAGTAGTAGTATTAATGCAAAAGAACAACATGGGTAGAACAGTAATTTGTGTGTGCTGGCTGGTGGTTACTATCATTATACTACTAGTACTAGTACAAGAAGAAAAAGCATAACTTATTGGTGCAGAGTCCAAAGAGGCATGTTATCTGCAAGTAGCTATTGACGCAAAAGTTCCCTCAGCAGTAAAATTGAAAACGACCATTTGACAGATAATTGTCCGGTTTGCAACTGCAAAGTTGGATGGAACTCAATTTATTGGTGATTTCTATATAACTGACTCAATTGTGATTCTAATTCAGCGCTCGTTGAAACTGTTGGATCTAGTTATATCGATGACATTAATGTGGCTTTCAAAAGACACTTCATACAGAGACATAGACTCGGCGACAGGATAACATTTCAAAATCACTTCTATCGACAGAAATCACATTCAATACTACAGGGCATGTCACATCCCAGTCTACTCTTGAGTCTTTTCCCTGTCYGAATCACCAGCATTAATCCACTTTCTTGGCCGTGCGTGGCTTCTGCATTCCTGTGGGTCCATCCGGCAGCTTCAGTGTYCCCCAGAACCGATCGCAGAAAGTAAAGATCTGCCCATAGTTGTAAATGTAGTGGGTGTGATGAACCGTGTGGTACTTGCTTCCCATAATAGGGTCCACGTTCCAGTCCATAGCATCATGAATATAAGTTGCCCAAATGGCGGTGAAAAAGACCATGCAGATGTGGGTCATGTAATGGCATGGGATGAAGGGCAAGAGATAAACGTATGGACTTGCTTGCAAAATACCATCCAGCGGGTGGAAGGCAATCGACGCCCACGGGGTCAGCGTTTCGGGTTTGTTGTAATCATGATGTTTCAAGTGRATGTGCTTATAAAGGAACTTGTTCGTATGAAGGGTGCGATGCATCCAATAAATTCCGATCTCGACGCACGCAAAGTARAAGGCCATGATCCCAACGTGAGGCAGCCACCCACCGATTTCATCCACCGTAAAGTAAACTTTCGTCAAGCCAGATTCGATCATCCATTCGTCAAACACGGGTAGCATTGTGTAGATGGTAAGGGAAGCTTGGGACAATTTTATTTGGCCCTTGATCGTCTCCCAGCTGGGTCGTGTTCTCCCTTGTTCTTCGAACGTTTTTTTGGACATGGGATGAACGTAACAAAAGTAGTGAAAGGAACCTGCAGTTCCGTAGTATACGAACATGCCAGCGATGAAGTTTCGTAGGTAACACAGGAGGTAATGAGCGTACTCAACATTGTCGTTTAGTAAATGCACGAACCACGCAGCGACRTTGCTGGAAAAGAAAATTGAGTTGACCCAAGCATTAAAATTACGGCAAGGGTTACCCAGCGGGTCGTTGTCTAGAATAGCCGCATATGCGTTTTGGTAAGTCCTTCCGTCTGCTAAGGTAATTGACGCATCGGGATCATTCTTCGACATCCGATCGATCCACCCGACCCCGGGGAAAGGAACTGCGAGTCGTGGTTGGTGGTGTTTTGTTTCGCATTATTTTGGA